CTGGGGTACCTGACGTAGTACGGAGTGGACTCCTCGAAACGGACGTCACGGGAGTCAAAGAACCGGTGAGAGGGAGGGTGGTAAAAGGTGAAGTCAGAGGAGTCCTCAGGGAAACCAAGGAAGACACAGGGGACGGCACGAGGCGAGAGCTTGTCCGCGGAGGTGTCGCGGACAAGAGCCAAGCACCCCCAGACACGAAACCGCGACGCAACACCAGGGGACCCTGTCCAAAGACTGGTCGGTGAAACCTCTGGTCGAGAGACACGTGGCCAGAGGTTCAGCTGGTGCGCGGCGTACCTGACCGCGTAGGGCCACAGAAAATGGGGGGCACAGGCGTGAGTCAGGGAGGTGCGGGCGATCTCCATGACCAGGCCTATGCGGCGCTCAGCAACCCCATTCTGCTGTGGGGACTCTGGAAGCGTCCAGGACTGACGAATGCCCTGCTCGCGACAGAATCCAGCGAGAATGCCGGAGCGAAACTCACCCCCACGGTCGGAGTGGAGACAGCTGACACGACGACCACGAGTGTCCTCAGTGGTGAGCAACCACCTGATCAGCGTAGAAGTCACCTCAGACTTCTTCGCTAGAGGGAACACTGTGGTGTAGCGGGAGAAGTCGTCAACTACCACCAGAAAGTAACGCTCACGCTCAGGGCCTAGACGAGGGGCTGGGCCCCAGACGTCCAAGTGAAGCGTCTCAAAAGGCTCGGTGGCCGGACGAAGGGAGGAGGAGTGAGGGGTGGCGCGCAGCCTACCCTCGACGCAGGGACGACACGGCGGCGCAGGCGAAGGCGGCAGCGACGGCAAGACACGTGGGAGGCCTAGGACAAGACGCTGACTAGACATAGCGCGCAGACGTGGAAGGGACGGGTGCCCCATCCGGTGGTGCCACAGAACGGTGGGGTGGGCAAGCGACCGGCAGGAGCACGACGCAGCGACTGGAACAGACGTAGGAACCTGACACGACACAGACACCTGGGGGGACGTAGCAACCTGGTGAGACGCGGGGACCCGAACGGGGGGGGGAACCGGGGGCAGTGGCAGTAGGGGGGGCTGCTGGTGCGGCCGCTGGTGCTGCTGCTGCTGCTGCTGCTGCTGCTGCTGCTGCTGCTGCTGCGGCTGCTGCTGCTGCTGCGGCTGCTGCTGCGGCGCACGCGGGCCAGTGTGAAGAGTGTAGAGACCCGAGCCCGGCTCAGCAGTAAAGGTAGCAAGAGGCTGGTAAGAGTCTCCGTCAACACACACCGCAGTCTCTCCAGAAGGCTCAAACCACACACCCACGTGCTGACTCACGAGGGGTCGCACGCCCACCAAGTTCCGGGAGAACGAGGGGACGTGAAACCCAGTGAGAGACCCAGAGGGAGCAGCAGGACACGGTAAAGTGGTAGTGTGACGTGCAGTGACTGGTCCCGTAGTGGGATCAGCCAACGCTACAGAAACAGGCGCAGGAAGTGGTGTAAGTGTCGTGCTGTCCCGAAAGAAGCAGTGGGAGGCTCCAGAGTCCAGTGTGAACGACAGCGAAGCGTCCTCTGAGGTAGTCGCTGGTCTAGACTCTACACAAGTACCTACACTAGCAACAGGCAACTGAGCAAGACTAGCACCTAAGCTAACAACACCAGAGTAAACAGAGTCAGAAACACTAGAGTCAACAACAGCATACATAGCATGAGGAGCACTAATCAGATCAACTAACTGCTCAGCAGACATGCCCCACAGAGCGGAGCCGTGGCGCTGAACCAGAGGAAGCCAGTCAGGAGCAGGACCGCCAACCCCGTAGGTCAACCGGACCGTGTCAGTGAGCTGAGCAAAGCACTGACCAGGGGGGTGAAAGCGGCCACAAGGGTGGCCTCGACGAGGACCTGTCTGAACCTGGTAGGGGCAGGGAGGGTAAGCAGCACCGCGCTGGGGCTGACGCAGCCCCGACCCCGGAGCCAGCTGCTGACGCTGCTGCTGCTGAGGCTGCTGGGAGGAAAGGGGCTGCTGCTGCTGCTGAAGGTGCTGCTGACGCTGAGCCTGGTACCACGCCGCTGCTCCACCTAGCGAGGCCGGCAGTACAGGAGGCGACTGACGAGCTCGAGGGTCGCCGCCACCAGCAGGTGCAGTGGAGTCACCAGCCGCTGCACGAGGGGTCTCTCCAGACGCTGCACTCCCACCACCGCCAGTCGCAACAGCACCCCCACTACCTCCGCTACCTCCACCTCCACCTCCACCGGAACCACCTTTCTTGCCCCCCCTGCCGCGGGACCGCGACGCAGTCGTAACAGCAGCCACAGTCGCGTCAGTAGCGGCAGTGGCAAGAGAGGCAGTGAAGGTGGGTAACTGCGGGACTGTGCACCCGTGGAAGAGTGGGGGGGACACAGTACCAGAGGCGGCAGCTACCGAACGAAGGTTGCTCTCGACGTCCTTGAGTGCAGACTCAAGGACCTCGATAGTCAGCTCACTAGGGTGCTTCAGCAGAAGCGCGTCACGAACGGAGGCAAGGCGGTCAGGGAGGCTAGTGGCGATGAAATAGACAGTAATCGCCATGGGGGGAGGAAGCAGTGCAAGCTGTGCCTCAGTGCAAGCAGCGCGGTAACTAGCGTCGAGCGAGCGGAGGTGAGCGATCAAGTCAGCAGAGCGCTCAAACGAGGCAAGATCAGGAAACAGGAACGGGAGGAAAAGACGGCCGAGAGAGACAGTAGCGGGAGTAGAGTAGCGGGCCTTAATCGCAGTGAGGTACGCAGCAGCGGTGCGAACCTGAGTAAAGTGGACCTCCTCGGACTCAGGGAGGAGGCTGCTGAGTGCGATGCAGGCCGCAGCGTCACGCGACGTCCAAGCCGTCCGGTCAGCGCGCTGACGGGCAAAGCGAGCCGTAGCAGCGTCGTCAGGAGCAGGGCCTAAAGCGGTAGGCTCGGGGGGCTCGGGGAGGTCACCAGTAGCGTGTGACCAGAGGGTCTCGCCCCCCTGGACCTGACTCTCTAACAGACGGCGAGCGCGAAGAAGCCAGACGGAAAAGTCAAGGGGTCTACCGTCAGCGTCGAAACGAAGAACTCGCGGAGTCGCCATAGTGAGAACCAACGCGAACGAACAGGCGAGTAACAACCGGGGGGGAAGAGGACTCAGTCGCAGCGGAAGAGCGGGCTAGGGCGACGGGCCAAAACGTAGGGTAGGGCAACGGGCCAGGGCCTAGGGTAGGGCGACGGGCCAGAGCCTAGGGAGGGCGACGGGCCAGGGCCTAGGGAGGGTGACGGGCTAGGGCCTAGGGAGGGCGACGCGACGGGGGAAAGGGCGGGAGCGACGCGACGGGGAGGGCGACGCGACTGGACAGGGCGACGCGACGGGGCAGGGCGGCGCGACGGAGCAGGGCGACGGGACAGGGCAGGGCGACGCGACGGGGTAGGGCGACGCGACGGGACAGGGCGACGGGACGGGACGGGACGGGACAGGGCGACGCGACGGGACGGGACAGGGCGACGCGACGGGACAGGGCGACGCGACGGGACGGGACAGGGCGACGCGACGGGACAGGGCGACGGTACGGGACAGGGCGACGCGACGGGACAGGGCGACGGGACAGGGCAGGGCGACGCGACGGGACAGGGGGGGAACAGGCGGGCGCGACGCGACGGGGGGAACAGGCGCGACGCGACGGGGGGAACGGGCGCGACGCGACGGGGGGAACGGGCGCGACGCGACGGGGGGAACGGGCGCGACGCGACGGGGGAGATGATGCTAGGCTCGGTACTAGGCGCGGTAACAACTAAACTGGTACGAACGAGAGGTAGGATCAGGCTCGGGAGGTACGAACGGAGAACGGAGGAACGGGATCCCACAGGATCCTAACCTAGCTGATACCATGTCAGAATGAGGAATGGATGTTGCATTGATGTTGGTTGGGGTACATATGACAAACCCTAACTTCTGTACCCCCTAAGACAAACCTCACTACAGGCTACAACATTTGACAAGCTTAATATCACCTGCGAAACTAAATAGTACCGTTCTAACTGAGCCTTATGCGCCGCAACTGAATTTCGCACTGGTACCCCGGTTTGCGAATAAGCCCTGAATTAAGCTCAATAATCATAGTCCATTTCAAACTCCGTCTCGTACTCATACTCCTGCAGCCACCCCAGCTCCTTCCCCAGCGCATCCATGCGCTTCCTCTGTGCGTCAAAGTCCGTTAGTGGGGTGGTAAACGGGTATATGTACACCACGCGCCCTGCTATAGAGCGGTATAATACATTATCGTCGCGCAGTAGCAGCTCGATAGTGTCACGCCCAAACAGGCCGTCTGTTTTGGCCCTTATGTAATGCCCTCCTGAGAGGTGGGGCATGTGGAAAGAATTAGGCAAATGTTGTGAGATAAACGCATACGTATATGTAAGCGTGGTGAGTGAGTGAGTGTATATGTGTATGTGTGTGTGTAAGAAAAAGCTCATACGTGTATGTAAGCGTGGGAGAGTGAGTGAGTGAGTGAGTGAGTAAGTGAGTGAGTATGTGTGGGTGTGTGCGTACATGCATGTGTGTGTATTGGTGCAATCTGTTTGCAAGTGTGTCTGTGAATGTGTGTGCGTGCACGCATTTGTAGGTGAAAGTGTGCAGGTGCGTGGGTGTGTGTGTGTCCGCGTGTGTGTGCCTGTGCAGTAGCTGACAATAAGAGTTCTCAAGGTCCATCGAACCAATATTGTATTTGCTGTGGCAGGAGAGACCGCAGGGGGAAGGGAGGGAGGGAGGGATGGAGGGAGGGAGGGAGGGAGGGAGGGAGGGAGGGATGGAGGGAGGGAGGGAGGGAGGGAGGGAGGGAGGGAGGGAGGGAGGGAGGGAGGGAGGGAGGGAGGGAGGGAGGAGAGAGAGAGATAAGGTGGACGGGTAGAAGGGAGGGAAGGGGCGAAGGGAGGGAAGGGGAAAAGGGAGGATGGAAAAGAGAAGGGAGGTAAGCGAGGGAGGTAGTGGTGGGACGGGGGGATAGGAGGGAGCGCTAGAAGCATGGGAGGGAGGAGGCAGGCGCTGATGGCATCTCACCGTCAGCGACATCAACGGACTCCTCTATGGCCGGGTTCTTGAGCGCCGAGCGCAGCACTCCCTCTAGCCTCTGTCGCCACCATGCATGCATGTATGTATGTGTGCACACACGTAGACATGGGTCCATGCACACACATGCACATGCATGCACACACGTCCACACATGCATGGATGTACACACGTCCACACATGCATGGATGTACACACGTCCACACATGCATGGATGTACACACGTCCACACATGCATGGATGTACACACGTCCACACATGCCGATGAATGGCAGTGAGAAGGGGAGCAGTCCGGGGCAAGGAATAAGCAAGGATAAGCTTAAATGCACTCTCCCTCATGCCGTCCCCCACCCTCTCACCACCCATGCAACCAGGAAAGCCGAGGCAGCACTAAGCAGTGGCACAGTCCAGAGCTGGCAGCAAGTAGGCGAGGCCTGGGAGTGGCTTGCTGCAACCGGAGTGTCTTGCTGCAACCGGAGTGGCTTGCTGCAACCGGAGTGGCTTGCTGCAACCGGAGTGGCTTGCTGCAACCGGAGTGGCTTGCGGCAACCGGAGTCTTTGCAGGTAACCGTATCTGCACAGCCCACTCACAACTGGACGGCTGTTGCGGTACTGAGGGAGGGGCCGGCCCAGGGCGGCGAGTTGAGAAGGCTGGAAAAGGCACGAACGCAACCGAGTGTCCAGATTCTTTGTATTTGCACAGCCCGCTCATACCTGCACGGCCGTGGAGGTACTGAGGGAAGGCACGGTCCAGGGTGGCGAGTAGGCGAGGCTGAGAGAGGAGGTGGAGACACAGTTGGGGTTGACCGCCAGGGGGCAGGGGCGGATGCGCCTGATGGGCGAGGGAGGGAGGGTGGGAGGAGCATGGGGGAAACACGGGACACGCGGCAGGAGTGGGTGCGGGGGGTGGAGTGGAGACACAGCTAGGATCCACTGCCAGGGGGCAGGGGTGGATGCGAGTGAGGAAGGCGGAAGGGGGAGAGGGGAGAGGGGGAGGGACACAGGCGGGGCAGCATGGCAGACAGTAGTCGAGGCTAAGAGTGGGGTGCAGATACGGTGGGGCTCACTGGCAGGGGCAGGGGCGGATGCGACCGAACGGGCGGAGGAGTGGAAACGATGGGAGCAACGGAATGGGGGAGGAGAGAAGAGGGATTGAGAAAAACAGAAGAGGCTGAGAGAGGAGGTGTTGAGGCGTCTCAAAAACACCCTCTTTTCAGGTGGAGACGTAGGTGTGGAGATGTAGGTGTGGAGACGTAGGTGTGGAGACGTAGGTGTGGAGACGTAGGTGTGGAGACGTAGGTGACGTAGGTGTGGAGACGTAGGTGTGGAGACGTAGGCGTGGAGACGTAGGTGTGGAGACGTAGGTGTGGAGACGTAGGCGTGGAGACGTAGGCGTGGAGACGTAGGCGTGGAGACGTAGGCGTGGAGACGTAGGCGTGGAGACGTAGGCGTGGAGACGTAGGCGTGGAGACGTAGGCGTGGAGACGTAGGTGTGGAGACGTAGGTGTGGAGATGTAGGTGTGGAGACGTAGGTGTGGAGACGTAGGCGTGGAGACGTCTCAAAACCAATCTTCCATCACTTAGGTGGGCTTGAAGGCCCCTGCGTGGATGTGAGAGGGGACAGGGACAGCTGTAACTGGTGGGGTGGGGGGTGGGATGAGGAAGCGAGAATATGAACACCTTGGCTGAGGGAGGAGGACGGGACGTAGGTGGGTTGAAGTTCCCTGCATGGATATGAGAGAGAGAGGGGATAGGGTCGGATGTGACTGGTGGGGGATAGGGTCGGATGTGACTGGTGGGGGGATAGGGTCGGATGTGACTGGTGGGGGGATAGGGTCGGATGTGACTGGTGGGGGGATAGGGTCGGATGTGACTGGTGGGGGGATAGGGTCGGATGTGACTGGTGGGGGGATAGGGTCGGATGTGACTGGTGGGTCGGATGTGACTGATGGGGGGAGGGCGGGGAAGCATGGAATAGAGGAGGGGAGGAAAAGGAAGGAAGGAGAGTGTGCTGGGGGGGAAAGAGAGTAAGGAGAAAGGCGGGAGAAGAAGGGGGATAATAGGAGGGCGGGAGCGTGTGACTGAAGAGGAGGGCGGGAGCGTGTGACTGAAGAGGAGGGCGGGAGCGTGTGACTGAAGAGGAGGGCGGGAGCGTGTGACTGAAGAGGAGGGCGGGAGCGTGTGACTGAAGAGGAGGGCGGGAGCGTGTGACTGAAGAGGAGGGCGGGAGCGTGTGACTGAAGAGGAGGGCGGGAGCGTGTGACTGAAGAGGAGGGCGGGAGCGTGTGACTGAAGAGGAGGGCGGGAGCGTGTGACTGAAGAGGAGGGCGGGAGCGTGTGACTGAAGAGGAGGGCGGGAGCGTGTGACTGAAGAGGAGGGCGGGAGCGTGTGACTGAAGAGGAGGGCGGGAGCGTGTGACTCGATGATTGAGAAACACGAGAGTGGGAGAGGGCGAGGAGGACGGGGGGAGAGGGGAAGAGAAAGGTAGTGTGTGGGTGTGCTGGAAGCAGGAAGGGTTGTGAGTGAGGGGAGGGGGAAGTGATAATGGGAAAGAAGGGTGAGAGAGGGGGGGGTGTGGAAGGGAGGGGCAGAGGGCACTATAACGAACGGCACAGTACAGCACACCGCAGGCCCCCCTTGCCACTCCCGCCCACCCGCCCGTACGCACCCCTTCTTTTCACACTGCTTCCCTCCCCACCCGCCCATCAGCCCCCCAGCCCTCCCCCTCACCCGCCCATCCATCCAGCCCTCCCCCTCACCCGCCCATCCATCCAGCCCTCCCCCTCACCCGCCCATCCATCCAGCCCTCCCCCTCACCCGCCCATCCATCCAGCCCTCCCCCTCACCCGCCCATCCATCCAGCCCTCCCCCTCACCCGCCCATCCATCCAGCCCTCCCCCTCACCCGCCCATCCATCCAGCCCTCCCCCTCACCCGCCCATCCATCCAGCCCTCCCCCTCACCCGCCCATCCATCCAGCCCTCCCCCTCACCCGCCCATCCATCCAGCCCTCCCCCTCACCCGCCCATCCATCCAGCCCTCCCCCTCACCCGCCCATCCATCCAGCCCTCCCCCTCACCCGTCCAGCAGCCCCACGTCCTCATCCTGCTCCTCCTGCGCGCGCACATAGGGCGACTGCTCCCCTGCCGCCACCACTGCCACCACCGATGGTTGGCCTGCATGGGAAGAGGGGGAGGGAGGGGAGGTGGGGTGGGAAGAGGATTTGTGAGAGAGAAAGAGTGGAAAGTGGCGATAACAGCCCATCCTGCTCCTCGTGCGCGCGCGAATAGGGGGACTGCTCCGCTGCTGCCACGCTGGGTGGACTGGGTGGGGCGAGGGAGAGGGAGAGGAGGTGAGATGAGGAGGTGGAGAAGCAGCTATTACCGTTTATCCTGCTCCTCCTGCGCGTGGGCATATGGCGACTGCATCGCTGCTGGCACCACCAATGTGTGGGCTGGGGAGAGGCGGAGAGAGGGAGGGGAGAGGCGGAGAGAGGGAGGGGAGAGGCGGAGAGAGGGAGGGGAGAGGCGGAGAGAGGGAGGGGAGAGGCGGAGAGAGGGAGGGGAGAGGGAAGCAACAGCAGCAGCAGCAGCAGGTGAGAGATCAAGGGGGAAGGAGAAGGGGGCATAGGGCGACTGCACCGTTGCTGCCACTTATGCCAGCAAGAGGGGTGAGGGATGGGGAGGGGAGGGAGGAGGAAATGAATAAGACGGGAGAAGAACAGGCGGAGGGAGGGGTGAGGGGGAAAAATGGCGCCACCGGCTGTCGGGCTGGCAAGGGGAGGGTGGGAGAGCGGAAGCGGAAAGCGAAGGCAAGGGCATGTAAGGGGCGGAATGGGAACGGGGCGAGGAAATGTCAACGGGGGGAGACAGCTGGAGGACCCGTGGGGAGGAGTGGGGGGAAGCAGTGGTGCAATCTCTAGTGCTTGGATTTGAAAATTGCACTCAAGGGTGGAGCGAGGCGAAGAGACGACTGGAGGGAGGAAGATAGAGGTGAATTCAGCGTGTTTGGTAACCGCTTCAGCTTCAAGCTCACGCCTCGGTTGAACCCTCACTCACGGTTCCTCCAGCTGGACTCGTTACAAGCTATCTCGCTTAAAAAAACCCCTGTGAACAACCCCAGTTTGAAGCACCTCGTTTGATATTTTCCCAGAAACGAGCCTCGTCGAGCGCGCGATCTAACCCTAGGATTACGAGTTCGTACCCCGTCGTTAGTTCGTAACCACGTTATGAAACGTCTCAGAACCGCATCAACCGAGCGATCGTACCCCAGCATTACGAGCTCGTACCGGCGTTGAACACGGCGGCGGCGGCCTCGAGAGGAATCGCCGCGGCGGCCAGATGAATCGCGACCAACGCGCCGGCGACCGCGGACATAATGCGGCCACGTGGCGATGCGTGACTGGCGGACGCCACGTCACCGCAGTCAACGCCAACAGCGGTGCGCGGAGCAGATTCACGGGGGAGCATCACGTCAGATTTGTCGGATCCAACGGCTCGAGGAGGCGCATCATTGGATCCGACCGCTCTCCCTGCCCGAATTGCAACGGCTCGGCGCGCAAGCGGAGCACTGACTGTCCTGAGGGGCCCACATGGAAGGGGGAAAGCCGGGAAGAGGCGCGCGGACGGAATTAGGGCCACGCGGGAGGCGCGGAGCGGCGCGGAAACGACATCCGTCGCCAGGAGCGTTGCCTGCGGACAGTGCAACGCCATGGTCGCTGTGAGGAAGGGAAATGCGGGTCCCCGCTAGCCAAATGGGGTTGTACTGGTGGGACAAGTGAAGATAAGGAGACAGCTTTCCGTTTGTCACGCAAATCCGCGATAGTAGGTATCATGAACGGAGTAAATGTTCAAGTACAGAACAAAATCTTTCAAACACTATCATTGCCGTGAGTCGTGAGGAAGTTTGCAGAAATGTAACACGAAACAAAGACGTTCCGTTGCCGGGACTTGAACCCGGGTCTCTCGGGTGAGAGCCGAGTATCCTAACCGACTAGACTACAACGGATGTGTACAGATAATAATAAAGCTTCATCATCCATTTTTCGCTGATTTTCGATGCGAGCTTTAGCGAGAACACAGCCTGGTCACACAGCTGACTTGAGATTGCATTGCACTATCGAGATCGCCGAGCCGCAGACTAAGGACGTCAGGTCACATGTCGCTCACGTTTGGGCCCTTCGGCAGGTCACAACCTGGGCTCCACCAACCAGCGCACTAGCCGCCCATCCTTACAACCGCTTGCTTACGTGGCTTGTGGAGGAGCTCTCAACCGAAGCCTAGAAACTTGAAGGGACTGAACTCTGGGAATGGAGGAATGGTAGCGGAACCAAACCCCTTAGTACCGGAACCAGAAGAACAAAATTGCACAGCACCCATATAATTTCTTGGAACTGCTCTTTGAAGGTCCCAATACTTGAAGCTCTTCGAAGGTCTGCTGAATTCGGCTTTTGCGGAATAGGAGGAAGACGGAAAACAAAACTATCTAATTACTCTCACGATTTGAGTGCCACTCAAGACTACGCTATTGACTATCTCCAGACTTCGGACTACCTTATATGCATTTGCAGCCACCAGGAGCCTAGAATACGAATTTTCCAATCGAGAGACCGAACAACCTTCCATCCAGATAGGCGCATTCGGTTGATAGGCAACGCTGTGTATCTTCGCGCGTGACAGGGCCATGTAGAGCCGTCGTTTGCGAAGTAGTGGCGTTTCTCGCAAGCAACTCGCTCGCCTCTGAAGCAACGATGTCTGGACTAAGAGAAGTGTGGACATTAGACCCCATCAATCGCGTACGATGTTACAATGTTACCACCAAGCCTTGTCGAATCTCGCTATACCCGATTCTTCTGGCAACTCTTCTGATCCTAGGTTCCTCTCCTGTAGCCTCCAGCGATACCAACAGCAGCGACGAGAAGTCGAAAGGCGACGAGGTGAAATCCGGCGATCATCCACAAGGGATATGGGAACGAATTGTTTCAGGAGCGTTAGGAATCGATCAGGAAATGGAGGAATTTGAGAAGAGTCTGGGAATCGGTGGTAGCAATTCAAATGAGAAGCCGTCGACTACGGGGACAGAATCCGATGGGAAAAATAATTCTTCAGCGAATTCGGGAAGCCGAAGTGATGGGAAAGCGGAAGATTCGAAATCGCACGGCGAGGATGCTGAAGAGGAGGTCGAGGAGAAAGAGACGGTCCAGATGCTCGCTGACGGAGATGCGGACGGGATTCCGATTCTGATTGGCGTGAAGGAGCCGAAGAAAGAATCTAAGAGTAAGAAAGCTGAGGAGGAATCAAAGAAGGCATCCGGGGAAGGCGGGGGGAAAGACGACAAGGAGAAGGAGAAGGGGAAGGGTAAGGGTGAGGAGAAGCGAGAGGAGAAGGGAAAATCCGGAGGAAAGGAGGGAGACGTGGGAGCAGGGACAGGAGACCGGAAAGCAGGGAAGGAGAGCGCGAGTGCGGCGGATGATAACCCGGATCAATACGAAGGGGAGGAGGGCGATGGCGCGCAGAAGAAGGCGAAAGGCGGCGGGAGAAAAGGAGGCAAAGGCGAGAACGTGGGCGAAATGATGGAGAAGATTCTAGAAAGACTGGATGACATGGAAGGCGAGGGGGGGAAGTTCAACGAAACCCTAGAAAAGCAGGAGGCGGTTCTGGAGACAGTGGCGCGGGTGGGGAAGCACCACGTTCACGAGAAGGAGGAGAAAGAGCGCGAGGAGCGAGAGAAGCAAGAGCAGGAGGAGGCGGAGAGGGAAGCGGAGCTGAAGGCGAAGCAGGAGGCGGAAGCAGCTGCTGCTGCGGCAAAGAACAGCTGGGACGGAGGGGTGACTGGTGGTGGAGAGCGGTCGTTTTTCGATATTCTCCTGGGGATAGATGCTGTGCCGCCACCTCCGCCCCCGCCGCGCCCCACCCCTAAGAACGTCACTAAAGCGTCAGCTAGAAACGAGACCAAGAAAGAGCAGGAGGCGGAGCAGGAGGACGAGAAGGACGTTCCTAGGCTCATAGACTCCCAGGATAACGAATACGTTATAAGCAGCCCCGGTAAGGGGTCGAAGATGCAGCTACAGGAGGATTTCACCCTCATTTCGGACATTGTGAAGGTGATAGTGGCGGCGGCGCTGGGCGGGCTGGCGTGTGGGCTGATGGGGCAGCCCATCATCCTGGGATACATCGTTGCTGGCATGGCCATCGGCCCGGGCGGGCTGGGGCTCATTCACGAGCTAGTACAGGTAAGTAGGGTTACCACATGTGGTGTTACAGGGCGGTGGGTGCTAGGAGGCCTGGCGTGTGGGCTGATGGGGCAGCCAATCATCCTGGGATACATTGTCGCTGGCATGGCCATCGGCCCGGGCAGGCTGGGCCTTATCCACGAGCTCGTGCAGGTGGGTAGGGGTTACCACATGGTATTGCTTATTAGGGTTAGGGTTATCGCATTGGTGTTACAGGGTGGTGAGTGCTGGGAGGTCTGGCATGCGGACTAATGAAGCCCTATAGGTTGCTGCATGTCTGTTGTTACGAGTAGGGTTACCACATTGGTTGAAGGCAGTTGGGCTGCCGTATGAGTGTTGCAGACAGCCTATAAAGCAGTCAGTAGGGTTACCACATGGTGAATGACAGTAGGGTTACCACATGGTGGAGGACAGTAGGGTTATCGTATGTGCAGGTCAGTGGGGTTACCACGTGAGCTGTTACAGGGCAGTGAGAGCTGGGATGGCTGGTATGTGATTTGATGGGGGTTCAGCCGAGCCAAGATGCAGGGAGTGCACAATGTGGCTCCAACCAAAGCACACACACACACTCACACACACTCACTCACACGCACACACACACACACTCACTCACACACACACACACACACACACACACACACACACACACACACACTTCTTCTCCTTCCTCTCCTGACTGTAGGTTGGAATCCTAGAACAGTTCAGGTTCAGGGTAAGCCCTGCTATTGCCTTTCTTCTCACCCACTTACCCACCCTTCACAGGTGGAAACCCTAGCCCAGTTTGGAGTCGTCTTCCTGCTGTTCGCCCGGGGGATCGAGTTCAGCCTCGCCAAGATGCAGGGCGTGCACAACGTGCCTCTATTCGCATGCGGACCCCCTCTTCTTCCTCCTCCTCTCTCTTTCCTCCCCCTGCAGGTGGAAACCCTAGCGCAGTTCAGGGTGGTGTTCCTGCTCTTCGCCCTGGGGGTGGAGTTCAGTCTCGCCAAGGTGCAGGGGGGCACAACGTGGCTCTCAGGCACATTCCTTCTTCTTCTCCCTCTTCTCCCTCCTCTCCCTCCTCTGCTCCTCTATCTACCATGCAGGTGGAAACTTTAGCCCAGTTCGGAGTGGTGTTTCTGCTGTTCGCCCTGGGGGTCGAGTTCAGCCTCGCCAAGATGCAGGGGGTGCACAACGTGGCGCTGGGCGGCGGAGTGCTGCAGATCGCAATTGCCATGATTCTGGGCGGCATCTTCAGCTCCAACACGCCGCAGGGGCTCTTCATAGGTGCGTAGCTATAGGGGGGTCACGGGGCCAGGCAGGACTAGCTATGTGTCGGTGGGTGTGTGAGTCAAGGCTGTGGGTAGTGGTCTGCTCCCTGTAGCAGCATGGAGTGCTGCAGATCGCCATGATTCTGGGCGGCATCTTCAGCTCCAACACCCCCCAGGGGCTCTTCATAGGTGCGCTTTTGTTTGACCTGGTAATATGTGGCAATTTTTCGGTGGGTGTGCGAGTCAAGGGCTTAGCTAGTGGTGCCTGTAGCAGCAGTGCTCGAGGTCCTCATCGCCAGGTGACTTTTGAGTCGACTCAAAATGACTTTGAGCCGACTCAAAAGTCCTCATCACCATGATTCCGGGCGCCATCGTCAGCTCCAGCATGCCCCAGGAGCTCTTCATAGGTGCGTATCTGGGTCAGGGAGCCAGGGCTAGCTATTGCCAGGTGGGAGGGAGTCCGGCTCAAGGGCTTTGCTAGTGGTGCCTGTGGGAGCACGGGAGTGCTGCCAAACCTCATAGCCATCACTCCTAGTTCTGGCCGGCATCCTCACCTCCAACGCGCCCCAGGGGTAGGTGCGCGCGCTTGGGTCACTGTGTGATGTGATGTCCGTACCCTACTGCTGCAGCAGTAGTAGGTGCAGAAATCGCTTTTGAGGATTCTCAAATGCGATTCTCAACTGCTGCAGTAGTAGGAGGTGCCGCAGGAAGAGGTCGTTCTGCAAAGTCGCCTGTCCATGGTCCGAAGCCGTACCTTCACGGTGAAGGCTTCACCCCCACACGCCCCAGGAGCAATTCATAGGTGTGCGTCTGGACTGGACTATGAGCTGGGCCTCTTCGTCGGTTACTGGCTAGCAGCGTACGTGGAGTGGAGGAGGGTTCTTCGTTTTCACCTGGGCCTTTGCCTCCCTCTTCGTTTTCACCTGGGCCTTTGTCTCCCTCCCTCCCTCCTCACGCCCACCCTCGTTGCACCACCCAGCTTCCTTGCTCCCCCGCTGTGCTCCCAGGCCGTGCATTCCCTCTTCTCTCTCTCCTCCTCTCCCCCTTTATTTCCTCGCTCCTCTCCAGCACCCCCAACCCCCACCAGGCGGCGCCCTGTCCATGAAAATTACAGTAATAACCCCCAAGTGACTCACTTCCTTATTTCCACCCCACCCCTTCCTCTGCTCCCCACCCCTGCTCCCTCTCCCCACGTTCACACCCTCCTCAGCCCCCTTTCCTTTCTCACTTCTCCTGCCATGCGGCTGCTTGTGAATCCCTCCACGGCACAGCACTGGTGAATCCCTCAACAGCACAGCACTGGTGAATCCCTCCACGGCACAGCACTGGTGCTCAATGGCCTCCCTCTCATCATCACCCCTCCCTCCCTGCTCCACCCCTCCCCCCCTCTCACCAGGCGGCTTCCTCTGCATCTCAACCACAGCCGTGGTGATCAAGTGCCTATTTTCTCCTACCCTTTTTCTCACTCGCTTATTCCAGCTTCCCCCAACCCTCCTGCTACCCTCCAGGCGGCTTCCTCTCAATGTCATATACAGTCGTGGTGCTCAAGTGCCTCCTCCCCTCATCACTCCCCCTTCTCTCTCCACCCTCGTTCCCCCCCATCCCCTACCGACCAGGCAGCTTCCTATCAATGTCATCCACAGCCGTGATGCTCAAGTGCCTCCTTCTCCCTTCTCTCCCTCCAACCCTTGCTCTCGCTCTCCCCCCCACACTCATTCCTCTCCCCTCTCTCCCTTGTCTTAACCAGGCGGTTTCCTATCAATGTCATCTACAGCCGTGGTGCTCAAGTGCCTGGTGGACATCAACGGCTTCAACTCTGAGCACGGCCAGGTGCAGTGCGGTGGGGCGTGGTGCAGTGGGTTAGTGGGTGATTTAGCTGAGGAGGCAGGTGCAGTGCGGTGGAGGGGCCGTGGTAGAAGGAAGCACGGGCAGGTGTGGTGTGGTGGATCCCCTGCCTGAAATAGGAACAGCCGTGTGTGGTGAGGTGAGGGCCATGCCTTTCCAGTGATAGACACAGGCAGGTGAGTAGGGGGGGCAGGGTGCGGGCTGCATTCACATAGCCATCGGCTGGCGATGTTGTGTTGACACTTGGGAAGTTGCGGTATGAGCAGGGGAGTTTTGCCTCTTTCCCCCTCGCCCCACGTGACTTTTGAGTCGACTCAAAAGTCACCTGGATATAATGTCACGCGACATTTTTACAGGACGGAGGGCGATCTTGGCATGGAAATTGCCTAAAAGAGTTGGAAGCTTTTTACTTTCTGCTCGTAAGTGCTGAAGTTAGTTTTACTGTAGAATTTCATTTTTTGAGCCTGATTCAGGTTACTGTAGTGTAGCCGAGTCAGCCTGGGGTGTATATAAACCTCGGGAGGCTCATTTCTCTCTTGTGGTCTGACGAAGGCGACTACGCCGAAACTAGTTACCACCATTTGATTTACACAAGAAACCATTCTGCAACCAGGCTTTCACGCCTGAAATCTCTTTGAACCTATTCTTGCTCCAAAAGAAACCGCTGCCTCGTAATGTCTCCCACCACAAAGTGGTGTTCCTTGGGTCTGACGACACCAAACACTGCGAAAGCCGGTTTCGAAATTAAAGCAAGGTTTTCAACAACAATGAAGAGAACTCTTCCCAAGGAAACTAACTCCAAGGCGACTCGACAGTCTACAAAAAGGCAGTCAATCGTCAAGGAACAACATCAACTCCTCATTTCGGAACCAGAGGATCCTATTGAATCCTCTCCAGTTCAGCCTAGCAAGAAGCGGCTCTGCCAGATCGCAGGCTCTCCTGCTACTTTACTCCAAGTCGACTCGATGGCTTCTCGTCAACCGGTTACGAAGCGTGTTGAAGCTCCTAACCCTGTTGAAGGAGTTTTTGCTGCTGCAATGGCTCCTGAAGTTAATGTGACGGTGACTTTGGATGATGACATCGAAATGAGGGATTCCTTCGATTTCTTGGGAGTAGTTTCTGATTCCTTTTTGGAAAAGCAAACGACACCTTCTTGCCTTAACTCTTTCAAGATTCAGGCTATTAACGACTTCAAGAAGCATTTTCTGAAGTATCGTACGCTGATGCAGCAATACCAGTTTATGGTTGACCAGAAAAATAGCGGTATTATTCCGCACAGCATCCGCATCAAACCGTTTGCTTTCGTCTGCAACAACGAAGAAGTCAAGCAGGAAGCTGATAAGGACCTGATGGAAGCCTGTACGGCATATTGTCAGCAAGCTCAACTCGTCATGATTAATATGAAGAAGAAGGCAGCCGACCGTGCTCTTAACGATGCTTATGGCGTCTACCCGAAGCTCCAGAGTCAGCTGACCAACTTTATTAATCTGACCAAGAATTCTGATCTCGGTGTTAAGAACTCCAAGCTTACTGACAAGCTGAACTTCTTCAAGAACCGGATCATCAAGGATTTTACCGAGTCAATGTCCCAGTTCTTCCTTGAAGCTGCTGTCGCTGAGACTCACCTTAAGGAGAAGAAGAAGGAAGATGACGACAAGAGAGCTGCTGCAGTGACGGAGGCGGAGAACCTGCCTGTTGAACCAGCAGTTCGAGAGATCGCGAAGCAGGAAGCCGAGAAAGCTGTTCAGCGACTCAGCTCTAACTTGAAGCGATCTACGTCGACACATCCTCCTAAGACTTCTACCCGCTCGGATAAGAAAAGCAATGCTAAGAAATCTTTTTCGTTTAAGACTAACAAACCGGCTGCAATGTCCAGGAACCATTCCAAGAAGAAGAAGCAGACTTCCAAGCAGCAGCAGCAGAAGAAGACCCCTGATGGTACTTCAGACGCAGCTGCTAAGACGATGGGTCGTGCCTTCTCTAAGAACATCAACCGCAATGCCGGTCGTCATCCTGGAAGCAAGAAGCAGAAACCGAATACTCCAAAAAACGGAGGATCCGGCCCCGGAAAAACCAAGAAACGCTAGCTGCTGACGTGCATCAGTACGCGCTGATAATCTTCGGTCGTAAGACGGAGTTTCAGCTGCGGAACCGGATCAGCAACAAGGGTATCCATAACTTCAGTAACCGTGTGTTTACTCACAGCGAACTGAGTCTTCTTGGTCAGGGTCTTAACTTCATTCCAGTTCCAGCTTTCCGTAGCATGTCCAGTGTAGAGTCAGAAGTCGACGGTTTCATAAGGAGTGTCAGGACGATGTATCTCTTTGATGGTGCTGAATTTCAGTCGGAGTACCCCGGTTACAAGTTACCAAAACGAGATAACTGGACACCGCCAGAAGCTTCACCCGAGGTTGAAACGGCCTTAACAGTTTTTAAACACTCGGTGTTGGAAAGCATCGGCAATCAGAACTTCGCACTGTTGCGCCGGAGACACAAGAACTACACGCCTATTCTTAATCGACTTGCTCGAGATCCTAACCTTGTTTTTAAACCGGCAGATAAGAATCTGGGACTTACGGTTATGGATCGAGACTTCTACAAAGAACACTGTTTTAAGCATCTACTTAACCCAGCAGTCTACCGGGAGTATTCTTCAGTCCCAGTTCAGTATATCATCGACGAGCTGCAGCAGATCCATACAGATTATAAGCCGCTGCTCAGTACCCGGATTTGGAATTCATTCTTTAAGGCGCCGAAGGGGGGATGGAAGGTTCCGGCTTTCTATATTCTTCTAAAAGTGCATAAGAAGGTTCCAGCAGGACGGCCCATCGCGGCGTCTCATTCTTGGGTCACTTCTAACGTCTCACGCTGGCTTGATGCTGTCTTAAGACCTCTTGTGACGGCGCAGCCGACTTACACTAAAGATTCTCAGAGTCTAGTGCAGGCACTTGAAGGGAGATGCTTCCAGCAGAACCTCTTACTCGCTTCTTACGACGTGGAGTCTTTGTACCCGTCAATCCCTCTAATGGATGGAATCGATGCAGTCGATTACTTTTTAAGGAGAGAACGGCATCCTTTGGCTCCATTGATTGTTCGTCTTTTGAAGTGGGTCATGTTCAACGGCTTCGTCACTTTCGACAACCGTTTCTTCCTTCAGATCCATGGCACCGCTATGGGTACTTCAGTAGCCGTGTGTTTTGCGGTGCTGTTTATGAGCTTCTTGGACAAGCAGCTACATGCGTCAATTCCTAAGCTTCCTTCTCTGCATCTGCGTTTTATCGATGATGGGCTTATCCTCTGGGAAGGCCCGCGGAAGGGGTTCATGAGTTTCAAGGAGAAATTTGACCAGCTGCATCCTTCCATCAAACTCACCTGGAACATTTCAGAAACGTCCATCGATTTTCTGGACGTCACTTTCTTTACAGGGAAGCGGTTTCAAGAGTGCGGTACCCTGGACGTTAAATTGTACCAGAAGCCCATGAACAGGTACCTATACTTACCGTTCAACTCTTACCATCGGAGAACCACTAAAGTCAGCTTTATCCAGAGTGAACTGAGAAGATTTCTCCTACGGTCTTCCTCACGTGAAGATTTTTTTAAGTCTCGTGCTCTTTTCTTTGCAAGACTGCGGGTTCGGGGTTACCCTGAACGGTTCCTTCTTCCCATCTTTAAGGGTGTTTCCTTTTCGGAGCGCTCTAAACTTCTTCGCGCTATTTCATCTCGCCATTCCTCAAGTCGCGGCCCCCTCGTGTTGAAATGCGAGCTCAACCCGTTGGTTGACCGTTCGCGCGTGGGGACCATTTTGAGTCGACTCAAAAGTCACCTGGATATAATGTCACGCGACATTTTTACAGGACGGAGGGCGATCTTGGCATGGAAATTGCCTAAAAGAGTTGGAAGCTTTTTAGTTTCTGCTCGTAAGTGCTGAAGTTAGTTTTACTGTAGAATTTCATTTTTTGAGCCTGATTCAGGTTACTGTAGTGTAGCCGAGTCAGCCTGGGGTGTATATAAACCTCGGGAGGCTCATTTCTCTCTTGTGGTCTGACGAAGGCGACTACGCCGAAACTAGTTACCACCATTTGATTTACACAAGAAACCATTCTACAACCAGGCTTTCACGCCTGAAATCTCTTTGAACCTATTCTTGCTCCAAAAGAAACCGCTGCCTCGTAATGTCTCCCACCACAAAGTGGTGTTCGCAGGGTGCGGGCTGCATTCACATAGCCATCGGCTGGCGATGTTGTGTTGACACTTGGGAAGTTGCGGTATGAACAGGGGAGTTTTGCCTCTTTCCCCCTCGCCCCACCCCTCCCCCCATGCCACCACTGCTTACCTTGCCCTCTCCATGGCCCACCCACCCCGCTCCTCCTCCACCCCTCTTCCGCTCCTCCTCCACCCCCCTTGTGCTCCTCCCGTCCTCTGTCCTCACTCCCCAAGTCATACCCGGCTGCCCTACCCCAAGACATGCTCAAAACGCTCACTCAACTCAACGCGCTGGGACTGGTCCGGTGCATATGGGCTTCCTCACGACTGCTCTCTAAGCCTGCTCGAGCGTGTGTACAGACCCCACCCACCCTTTTGTTAACCCCACCCCACTGGAACCCCTTCTGCCCAGGGCTGACGTTTCATTTTAAGCCTCCCTGATTCCGGGGAAAATTTTCCCCCTCTATTATGGGTGCACATTTTCCGGAAAAGCAATACCCTGATTGCTCAGGGTTGTAAAGTAGTTAACTCTGATTGTTCAGGGTCAAGAACTGAACATCAGAGTAGTAACGCGCGCTTTGTTACCGGGGAGAAAATCCCCACCATCCATAAAGTCTGCGCGCTGTGTTTCCCGCTGGCTGTACACTGGACTGATTTGTGCAGGGCGGGTGTGATTGACCTATCTGGTGTGCGAGTGTAACGTTTCCCTGTCTTACCATGCCCAATCGGATCTCTTCAGATGGCATGCATCAGACACGCTGCGACTGTAGTTAGTCACCCTCAGAGGCGTTCCTTCTGGAGCGAGTGTAACGACCAAACGGGCGAGTCACACCTGTTCGAGTCAAAAATTTCCGCTGTCAGAGCCTATTTCGACCAATCCCAGCAAAGTATATCTGACATTGCAGATTCGCGCGATCTCGATGGTAGGTGTATCAGAACGAAGTTTCGAAGAAACTTCTTCTCGATAAAGCGGGAAGGGGGGGATTACGCACATGTTGGGGGATCACTGCGATCAATCCAAGGCAGGGTCATCGGAGGGAAACTTCTGAGAAACTTCCTCTCGATAAGTCAGGGTCCACAGAGTCGATACTCTGTTAAGTCAGGGTCCACTGACAGCCTAGTCTGTTACAATGTACTCAAAATCAGGGATAGCTAAACTATTACTCTGATTGGATCAGGGCTGAAAATTCAATAACTCTGAAATTTCAGTCTCCACAAAGTGGAAAGCCTGGAATCACCCTGAAATCAGGGTAATTACCCTGATAAAATCAGCCCTGCTTCTGCCCTCCCGCAGATCATCCTGGCCATGCTCTCATTATGCATGGCTGTGCCCTAAGCCTGCTCCTTTGCAGATGCCAGCACTGCTACTTCACATTGCAGTCCCCCATCTCCTCCCCCAATACCCCTTCTTCCCCGCAAACCCTCCCCCCCACCTTCCCTCCTCTGCCCTTCCCCAGATCATGCTCGGCACGCTCATTGCACAGGACTGCGCCCTCGGGCTCCTCCTCGCAATAATGCCGGCGCTCGCCGCCCGCCCTGCATCGGCCTCGGCCATCCTACTGGCCCTGGTGCGCGAGCTGCTCATCCTGCTCGCCTTCTGCCTCGTTGCCTGGGCGCTCTCCCGCCTGCTCGTCCCGCGCTTCCTGCGCCTGCTCGTGCGCGTGTCAAGGGGCAACAACGAGCTGTACCAGCTGGGCATCATGGGCAACTGCCTCTGTGTGGCTCTGCTCTCCGAGTATCTTGGGCTGTCGCTAGAGGTCGGGGCGTTCATTGCCGGCCTCATGCTCTCAGGTGCGTGCCTGAGGTGGATACATCCATGCACGTGTGTGTGCCGTTTAGTGACGCGTGTCCCGAGGCAAGGCAGCAACGAGCTGTACCAGCTGGGCATCAAGGACAACTGCCTCTGCGGGGCTCTGCTGTGCGAGTACCTGGGGGGGGCTATCGCTTCAAGCGGGGGCGTTCATCGCAGGGCGCATGCTCTTAGGGGCGTGCTTGAGGTGGCTACATGCATGTGTATGTGCATGTGTATGTGCGCATGTACGTATGTGCATGTCTATGTATGTACGCATGTATGTATGTGCCATATACTGGGGTGTGTCAGTCAAGGGGCAGGGACGACGCATCATGGTCAAATTTCTGCGTCTGCATTTGCATTTCTCTCTTTTTCATGTACCTGCGTCTCTTGCTTGAAGTGAGTGTCATTGATTGCGTCTCTTGCTTCAAGTGAGTGTCATTGATTGCGTCTCTTGCTTCAAGTGAGTGTCATTGATTGCGTTTTCGGGATCATGCTCTCAGCTGTGTGCGTGCTCTCAGCTGTGTGCGTGCTCTCAGCTGTGTGCGTGCTCTCAGCTGTGTGCGTGCTTTCTATGCACGCCCTCCTGCACATTTGTCTAGATTCGAGGCACCATGCATCTTGCTCATGTATGCATCTTGCTCATGTATGCATCTTGCTCATGTATGCATCTTGCTCATGTATGCATCTTGTCAACAACCGTACATATCTTGCTCTGCTCATGCATGGCACGTCTTGATGGCCAACAGTGCCCCCTCCCCCCCCACCCCTCTTCCCTCTCTCCCCCCTCCCTCCACCTCCTCCTCCCAAGAGCCACGTGCAGCGAGCACACCATATTACAATGGCCACATTGGACGGAGCTCGTGTGCAGCATGGGCAGAACGATGCTCCCTGCAACTTGCCCACTCCCCCTCGTCCTTCTCCCTCCAGGCGGCACATACAGCGAGAGAACACTGCACCAGGTGGAGCCGGTGCGCAACATGTTTGCGGCGCTCTTCCTGGCGTCCATAGGCATGGTGATGCACCCCATGTTCCTCTGGCAGCACAAGGACATCTTGCTCCTCGCGCTTGCGGTTGTTTTCCTGGGGAAGACGCTGCTCGTTGCTCTCGTGGTGAGTCAGGGAGTGGGGACGGTTGGCAAGGAGGGGGAATAGGCACAGCTTGGGGTAGGCACGGCGATGCACCCCATGTTCCTCTGGCAGCAGATCGACATTCTGCTGCTCGCCCTCGCGATAGTTCTCCTGGGGAAAACACTGCTCGTTGCTCTCGTGGTGAGGGGGGGAGTGTGAATGGTGAGGGAGGGAGTGGGGATGGGGGCACAGAACAGGGTAGGTAGTGGGGCACAGGCATGGTGATGCACCCCATGACTTGTGAGTTGACTCAAAAGGTAGTGGCACAGGCATGGTGATGCACCCCATGTTCCTCTGGCAGCACAAGGACATTCTGCTGCTCGCCCTCGCCGTCGTCTTTCTGGGCAAAACACTCCTCGTTGCTCTCGTGGTAAGAGAGGGAGTGGGTGGGTGGGCATGGTAAGGGAGAGAGTGGGTGGGCATGGTAAGGGAGAGAGTGGGTGGGGATGGTAAGGGAGAGAGTGGGTGGGGATGGTAAGGGAGAGAGTGGGGGTGGGGGCACAGCACAGGGTGGGTTTGCCCATGGTGAGCCAGCACCCCATGTTCCTCTGGCAGCACAAGGACATTCTGCTGCGCGCCCTTGCTGTTGTATTCCTGGGAGAACTCTGCTCGTTGCTCTCGTGGTGAGTTGGGGAGTGGGGACGGTATGGCAGGGAGGGGGAATGAGGTACAGCACGGGGTGGGCATGGCGATGGCGATGGCGATGGCGATGGCGATGGCGATGGCGATGCACGCACCCCATGGTCCTCTGGCAGCACAAGGACATTCTTCTCCTTGTCCTCTGGCAGCACAAGGACATTCTTCTCCTTGTCCTCTGGCAGCACAAGGACATTCTTCTCCTTGTCCTCTGTGGGGACAGAAGTCCTCGCTGTTGTTTCCGTGGGGAATGCACTTCTTGTTGCTCTCGTGGTAAGGGAGATGTGGGGAAGCTTGCATTGCGGGGTAACGGCAAACCTCCCTATGGTAACGGCAAACCTCCCTATGGTAACGGCAAACCTCTAACAGCCCACGCCCGCCCTATCTCCCCTCCCCATGGTCCCTGCCACTTGCTTTCTCTTCTGTATGTGAGTCAGTTTTGAATCCCCTTCATTTTGGATCTGTTCGAAGTTCATTCACGGTTACAGAACCAGCTGGTAAGAACACCCCTCCAGTGTTGCGAGCCTGCCTACACCCCTCCAGTGTTGCGAGCCTGCCTACACCCCTCCAGTGTTGCGAGCCTGCCTACACGGAAGTATGACACTCATGGTCACCAGGAGTGCCATTTCAAAGGTAGTTACAATTGTGGTGCATCCCGCAAGCATAACAATCACCGTGGGTCTCCGCCGGAAGGGTCCAGTCAGTCAATCCGACTTGGCATCTGTGGGAAATCACTCCCGTCCCCTTTCCACTCAATGGCTCCGCATCCCCTTTCCACTCAATGGCTCCGCATCCCCTTTCCACTCAATGGCTCCGCATCTCCACCTGCAGCGGTGGGCATAGCACTGATGCAGATAAGGGAGTCATTGAGTCATCTTTTCCTCTCTCTCTTCTCTCCACCCCTTCCCCATTGCACCCATTCAACAGGTCCGGGACCGTGGATACAGTGCTGACACAGCAGTAGCCGTGGGCATAGGGCTCGGTCACATCAAACAGTCCTTTCTCTTTCCACCCACCACGCGCGCGCGCAAACCTTGAAGCTGGTGGGGCACAAGCTGTACCTGCTGCTCATGGGCACCACCACCCTCTCCCTCGTCCTCACGCCCTTCGCCTTCTCAACTCCCTGCCTCCTCCCCATCCCTTGCGCCCCTCTCCCCCTCCCCACTCCCCCTGTCCCCCTCGTTCCCCCATTCCCTAGGTCCGTGGTTTCGGCTATAGCGCAGGCACAGCAGCAGCGGTGGGAATAGCCCTGGCGCAGATAGGAGAATTCTCCTTCGTCCTCCTCTCGCGAGCGCAAACGCTGAAGCTGGTGGGGCACAAGCTGTACCTGCTGCTCATGGGCACCACGGCGCTCTCCCTCGTGCTCACGCCCTTCGCCTTCAAGCTCGTGCCGCGCCTCGCCGCCATTGGCGCCCACCAGGACCGCGCTCGCCTCATGCTCAAGAACAAGAGTATGGTGTCGCCGGGAGGGGCGGGGGGAGGGGGAGGCGGGGGGAAAGGCGGTGGGGGTGGGGGAGGGATGGGCGGAGGAGGAGGGTCGGGGTTGCCTGTGAGTGTGAGTGGGGGTGGGAGTGGAGGGGGAGGAGGGGGAGGTGTGGCTGGTGGTGTGGTTGGTGGTACGTTTGGGGGTTTGCTGAACGGGGTTGCTGGCGTGCTCTCTCCTCGCTCTGCTGCTGCGGCGGCTGCTGCCGCTGCTGCTGCTGCGGGGGAAACACAGGTGCTACTAGCAGTTGATTCTGACCCTCATTCAGGGGCCAACCTGCACCACCACCACCACCCGTCACACAACCCCCAAGCCGTCCCTTCTCACCATCACCACCTTCCCCCAGCCCACCCTCACCATTATCCCTCGCAGCATTACGGCACAGCAACAGCAGCCCACGACTCCCTGAGACCTAGAAACCCGGCTAAAGCTGCTGATTCAGGGGGTAGAAATATTGTTAGGGCATCGGATTCTGGGGGTAGTTCGGGCTCTGGGAGTGCAAACGACTGGGGCTTATCTGAGGATTTCTTTTATGAAAGGGGCAGTGTGGAGAATCGAGGAGGCTCGGGAGCAGGTCCGGGAGGTGGCTTGGCTGGAGCAGGTTCAGGATCTGGCTCCATGGTTGCATCAGGCTCAGCAAGCGCAGGATTGACATCCCCTCCTGCCCGAAGCTTGTCTCCGACAGCTTCGGTTACACAGCGGTCTCCCAAACCTGGAACGGGGCAGGTTCGGAGAGTGGCTCAGGTGGCGGGTCTGAGCCCCCGAGGGGGCCTTGCGGTAACCAGTAACACTGGCAGCCCTATGAAGGCATTTGCTTTGCTGGGGACTGTGGAAGAGGGAGGAGGGGGGAGACGAGAGGAGCGGGAGGAGGGAGGAGGGCCATTCCAATATGCATCTAGCTCTGGGTTCTTTTCACGGTGGGGCGTTAAAGGGTCATCGCACCTGCAAAAGAAGGAGATGGCACACCAGTCATGACAGTAATTTCACAGTTGCAATTGTACTACTAATAGATGCAGATTATGTATACGTATTTCTGAACATCTCATTGGGAACTGAAAAATGGAAATTGCACGTACTAGCACGAATTCCCGTATGCCCGTATGAATGGCATGTTGTGATGTCAAGGCCTGTTCAAAACTCCACTAAAAACTTACAATGACTTAACAGCAAACTTCCTTATTATACACTGAAAACGTACAATCATCTAACAAAAAGCACTGTAGCTCTGACTGCAAATGGAAGCTCAGCAAACCCTGGTTGCCATGGCTGCTCGAGCAACAATTCCTTCACTGACATCTCAGCGATATGCGGGAATTGCGGCGTCTCTGGCGGTTCCACCCGTCATAGTGCTCCAAGTCCCCCCGCATATTCAGGACTCCACGGGAGCACATCTAACGACCACTTCGTGGCACAATCGATACTCGCGCAAGCATACGACCAGCTTCGCACGCTTTTCCCCGGAACTCTCAATACTTGCGACTGAGCCGTCAGATCAGCTCGCACATAAAGCTCAGTGAGGCGCATCATTAGAATCAAACTCGCAGATTGCGTTGCGACGGGCAGAAACGAAGCGAATCCTCCTTGGCTTTGCAGCAAACTGCAACCCTAGCCGATTAGACTGTCGAAACCCTAGCCGATTACACTGTTCCCTTCCTTCCGCTTTCTGTAGTCACATTCGATGCTGCTGCTTTGAGGTTTACTTGGCACACGGGGCAGGTGGTCCAAACTCGCGGGTTGCGAATCTGACAAAAACAAACCGAGGCCCCACTTCTTCTGCTTCGCGGCTCTTGCTGCCGAAATCCTATCCGATCAGACTGCTCTGCTTTCCCTCCACCTCGCTTCTATAGACACATCCAATGACGTCGCCTTGAGGTCTATTCGGCACACGGGGCACGTGGTCCTGTTGGCGAGCCAATGGTCGATGCAGCTGACGTGGAACCGGTGCTCGCAGGGCAGCAAATAGCGAAGCAGCTCACCCTCGTTAAAGTCACATAGACACACCGTGCACTCTCTGTTCGCTGCAACCCCTCCGTGTCTCAAGTAGGTAGTACTTTGTGCTTCCAAATCGCCGACGGCGTCAATCACGGAATGTCCCGCAGCTAGTACAGCATCTGAGGGCGTACTAGTAACTTCTCGCTTAGTATACCCAACCGTATCATTGTTCAATTGAAGGGAATCTCTTGCGGAAGGGCAAAGGCGGTCACTGGGGGGGTGCCGATACGGTCTGATGGGGAATGTCGCGGCGAGCCGCGCCGGGTTCAACCGGGGGGGGCTGCTCGGGACTGCCACCGATGTAGTAGTCACATTCGGTACAATCTCTGTCCGGTAATAGTTCGCGCCGCTACTATACGAAGGTTGACCCAGTAGTTGGGTCCACGTGTAACGAAAGGCGCCGGGGTGGCGATATGCTAGTGTGGCAATAACGAATAGCACCACAACAAGCACCACTGCGGCTATGGCGAGGGAGAGCGGGAGCGCTTCCACCTTGGCGGCCGGTGGCGCCTCTGTCGCTCCTGCCGCGTCCGTCGGTATTCCTGGCGCTGCTGCTACCGGCGCGGGTAGGGATACCCGTGCCGTCATCATTGCCGCTGTCGCCGCCTGTATGACGCTTTTCAAGGCCTATTTTCGTCCAGGGGATTAGTAGCTTCAAATAAAATTGTCCTCGCTGCTAAAACTATCGGTAAGCACTTCATTGTGGTTTTTTTCTTTCCTTCATCCATGCAGGCGAGCGCGAGTACTAGGCCGAGCCATGTGGGTGTTCGACGATGTACGGTGGCACCGACTGCCGAGTAAAACGCGCGTCGTCGTTTAGTCTTGAGTGTGCAGCATTTGAACACTAAATGGGTGGACTGAGGATTTCTTGGATTCATGGGGCAAGGGAAATTTGCGCTGCTAGCAGTTGGGCAGCACGGCTAGCCGACTACATATCCACCCACGAAGAGGTAGTGTACAGGAAAACTCTTCGCATAGCGGCAGGGAGAAAGGATACTACAAGCAGTTGCAATTTCAGGTGCATGTAGGGAGTTTTGTATTGTACTGTAAGTAGGCATTCTGTTGACCGTTGCGGGGCGGACTACAGTCAATAGCTGTTTGAGAGAATCGAAACCTGGAACGCGATAACCTCGATTGGATGAGGGAAAGTTTCAGGACCGAGAACGAGAACCCACAGCTGCTGATACACTTTATAGGCGTCCCGGTATTTCATTTTTAGTGTTCCCCCACCCCCCACCCCCCCCCCCCCCATACCAATCTTGGTGGCACATGGAATTATCACATCACACTTATCAGTCAAAGTTGCTATTTCACTTCTGCATTTCAGCATGAAAGCAATTGGAACCAGCTGAAAGCTATTTTCTTGGTGGAACTTGTATGCTATTTGAACAAAACGGAAGAAGTATAGCCAGTCGAAGTTTCAAGGATTGCTTCCGATCTTCAAATGGTTCCCTGTAGCAACAGCAGCTCATGCCCAGCGTACGGTCTTCCCGCCGCCTTTCCCGCGAACAACCCAATGAAGCATCATCACCCACCGCTTCCTGTCCGCGCCAGGATCGCCATCTTACATTGTAGGCCCAAGCAGTTCGCGAGCTGCATGCGTTGAACGTTCCCACGCCAATTAGGCATTTGACTGGGAAGAGGTTAAATTATTTTACGCTAATCATAGGGCATCTGCCGCCACCAACTTTTCCCTGCAGCCGAATCGTAGATTGAACGGACGAAGTTCTTATTGTCTGATGTGAGAAGTCGAATTCGCGAGTCGCCAACCTCCGGAGGCTCATGAGCCGTTTCTCGTGGGAGTCGACCAAGAGACCGCATCGATTCTTTCCCCTTTCATTGTCACGCCGTCGTTTACAGTCACATCGATTGCTGTCGCTTTAAAATCTACTCGGCACACGGGGCAGGTGGTCCTATCGGCGAGCCAGTGGTCGATGCAGCTGACGTGGAACCGATGCGCGCAGGGTAGAGAGCGAACCAGCTCTCCCCCATTGAAGTCACAAATGCATACCGCACACTCCCTGCATGCTGATAATCTCCCAGACAGCGAAGCGTTCGTTAGATTCTGCGCACATCGCGTTCCCAACAGCTCAAAGGCGTATGTCGCGGTAAAACAACAACTCTCCTCCGCCGAAGAGCCTCCCGAAAGCCCCCCATTTCCTCCCCGATTTTTTTCGAGATCTGCGTTTTTTGCGGCGGCAATACCAATAAATATTTTCGCGGTAGCATGCGACGGAACGCCGCGGTCTGCCGAAGGGAGGCAATACGGTCTGACGGGAAATGATGCGAGTTGTGCCGGGTGAAGCCCTGCGGGGGTAGCGACCGGCACCGATATAGTCGCATTCGGTAATTGCTCTCCTGCGTAGTAATCCGCGTTAGTAGTCCTGGATCCGCGTCTGAGATGCTTGCACGCGCGTACTAGCCCGCGGACTTGCATAGTAACGAGCCGAATTTAGTTTACGGCGCCGGGGAGGATAGGGATTGGGGAGAAGAGCTTGCCAAGAACGCTCCGGCGAAGTGCTGATGGAACCCTCGGCGCACTGCGCGGCGCAAAAGGAGTGAGTCTGGGATGGTTTGCCAAGCAGCGGTCAACCTTCAAGCGAATTGTGGCCCAATATGACTACAATCGGACTGTCGTGGGCAAGAACGAACTGAAACAGGGCTGCGTAATCAGAGCTGAGGAATCATGAGATTGCAATGGAATGAGCTCCATGTTCAAGTATTTGTGTGCTGGTTGGATTGGAGTAGAAAACGATTTCGCTCGTGGGACTTGGGACAAATGTCACAACTCACGACGACGAGATACACCCTGTTTCGCGCTACACTGTCATTGGCTATATGGGTCCTGTGGCTCAACGCGCCAGAGGGCGCGTTATAGTAGACTTTTGTACCAGTACGGTTTGACGTGGTTAGTTACTTTCAAAGACGGTCGTTTGAACGTTTGATATGGCTCGGTAGGGTACCCAGGATAACGAAATTGCGAATCGCCTCCTTGCTGCAAGAACCGTCCTCTCCTCGGAGGAGCACATGCACGCAATAGTGATGCCGTACGCTTGGGGTGTGTGGGGGTGAGGGAAGGGGTAGGGTAGTTGGGAGCCCGGTAGCGCTACCGAGCCCGGAAGCGCTACCGAGCTTGGTACCAGGGACGAAACGCACTGCCGGGTGAAACATATTGCATGAAACTCCTCGGCAGGAGTGGGAAGGGGTGGTAGGGTAGAGGTGATGTACGTTGTGGCGTGGTGACGCGACAGCAGTGAAGAAGGATACACCTTAATTTCCAAACCTACTTCGCACTCTTTTTGCATGCCCTTGCTGTCAAAATATAAATATAAATTGCATCCACACTAAGACTCTGGTGCAGTGTAAGGAAATTCCCTTTTCCTTACTTCGCGTCCCTGCTCAACGCGTACGTCACTGTAGCACCTCAGTCAGCACCGTTACCACTCACGACCATCGCATCATTCATTATCCCGCCCTCTTCGCACATCGCATCCCGACCTTACGGCTCGGCTGGTAACCCGCGCTCCGGGCCTACGCTTCGACACTTTCCCAACCTCAGCCCCAGGCTCGTCGCGCGACAACCACAGTCCATTACCGTTACCACTATTGTTTCGCTATATAATCCTTCGCTCATGCCTTCGCTCATTGTACTCTTTGCTTCGATAGTGCAATTCTCGTTCGTTCACTCAATTGCACTCGTAACACTTGGTAATCAGAGCCTACGATCTCATCTCGGATCGCATCCACACCTTCGCTTCCCACTATCTCAATTTTTGGGGGGGGTAGACGTCTCTCAGCGACACAGCACCGCCGCTCGTAGTGCTCTCTCGCAAGCACGCACGGCCACGACCGAGGCTCTCGCTGAGCTTGCCCGACACCCCCGCCATGGCCGACCTCAATCTCGCCACGTTGACGCAGGAGCAACTCGATCGTCTCGTGCGACAATTGGAGGATTCGGCGCTTGAAATCGCGACGCTCACGGCGGAACGTGACTCCGCTCGTCAACAGTCAACGGTGAATGCTCCGACAACATCCCATGTGTGAAGTAAAGAAAACAGGAATGAAATGACTAAGGAAAGATTGGGTACAAATACAACCCTAGAAACCCTGTACCCCATATGTGCTACCCCACTATAGCCTACAGCAACTATGTCATATAAATCTGACACACCCCCATAGGCAAAGTGGGGGAGAACAAGGGGTCACAAGACCAGTCAAGCAAAGCAAAGCAAGCTCAGGGTGGATCACAAAGTCACCACACAGTCCGAGCACAAGAGTAGGGCCAGAGGTCAGTTCACATGCAGGAGTACAGACATATATATAAAACTAGACAAACAAGAGCAGGCATATATATATGTCACAGTACAAGTGAAGTCAAGAGGAGAGCAAGTGAGGCAAGACAGGCACAAGACCCAGCTGGGTGCAAAAGCGCTGATGGTCACAAGGCGCGAGTGCCTTGGTGAACACATCAGCAGTGTTGGCCTCAGAGGCCACGTACGCAAGTCGCAACTGACCACGCTGCTGCAGCTCACGAGCAAGGAAGTAGCGGAGAGCAATGTGCTTCGTTCTGTGCTCCAAGCGCTGCTCTCGACACAAGGCCAGCATAGCCTTGTTGTCTACGTACAGCACTGGAGGAGAACGAGGCGGCTCTCCAAGGTCAGTCAGCAGGTAGGTGAGCCAGCGAAGCTCCTGTGCAGCCATGACCCCGGCGTAGATCTCAGCCTCACAACTGGAGCCGAGAACCGAAGACGAGCGAGTAGACCGCCACGAGACAGAGCCGGAACCAAGGCTGAAGGTGTAACCCTGTGACGACCGCTGCGTAGCCTGGTCGTCAGCCCAAGAAGCGTCCGCGTGGCCGGTAAGGACCACTGGACTCCGCCCTCCAAGCACTAGCCCCATGCCCGACGTACTGCACAGGTAGCGCAATACCCTCTTCGCTGCAGCCATGTGCTCCGGTCTGTGTCTCCCAGGAGCAACATAGCGTGCAAGAATGCTCAGAGGGTATGCAAGGTCAGGTCGTGTGCAGGTCATCAGGTACATGAGGCAGCCAACAAGCTCTGCATACGGACCACTCGACTCTACGGACTCATCCGAAGGCAGAGCTGAGAGTGAGTGGCGAGTAGGCAGAGGAGTGGCCTGAGGCGAGGAGTACGTGAAGCCGAAGCGCTGAAGGACCTGCTGCACCATGTGTGACTGAGTCAAGGTAATGGTGCGGCGTGCTCTGTCCCGAGTGATCTGCAAGCCAAGGTAGCTGCGCAGTTCACCCAGGTCTGTGCACGTGTGTCTCTTCAGCAGCTCGGACTTCACGTAGGCGAGTCCAGTAGTGTCCGCTGTGGCAAAGACCAAGTCGTCGACGTACACGAGGATGTAGAACGGCGGCAGGGAAGTGTCGGTGCGAAGAAACAGCGACGGGTCTGCAGTAGAAGGAGCAAACCCAAGAGCCGCAAGCGTAGTCCTCAGTGTGTCGTGCCACTCACGCGGTGCCTGGCGGAGACCGTAGACTGGCCGTCGGAGGCTCCACTGGGTGCCAGGAGGGAAAGTCCCAGTGAAGCCAGGTGGACGGCGAAGCCAGATCTCCTCGTGCAGGCTACCCTGCAAGAACGCAGTGCTGAAGTCGAGAGAGTGAAGCTCGTAGTCGCGCTGAGCGGCTATGTGCAGCAGCACCCGAAGAGTAGTCATCTTCGGGGTGGGAGAGAAGGTCTGAAAGTAGTCAACTCCCTGCCGCTGACTGAAGCCACGAGCAACGTACCGTGCCTTGAAGACAGGTGGAGAGCCCGGCGGCCGCTTCACCCTGAAGATCCACATGCCACTGACGATGTTCGCCCCAGGAGGGGGAACCGCGTCAACGTAGGTGCCTGTGGACTTCCAGGAAGCCATCTCTGCATCCATAGCTGCCTGCCACTGAGAGGAGTAGGGACCCTCTACGGCCTCCGCGTAAGAACGCGGAGTCGGGATGTCTAGTGCATCCGGGTCTCCCTCAGGGGCAAGCAGTACAGACGCGAGATGAGGTGAAGCAGCCGCTAGACACTGTAACTCCTCCTGCCTGTCCTCTAGGACGTCCGTGCCAAGAGCACACTCACCCCCGACGGACGGAGGACAGACAGACGCAGACTCAGCAACAAGACTAGCAGCGTAGTCGAGACGACAGCGAGCAGCAAAGTCAACGAGCTCAGCGACTAGAGCAGACGCAGCAGTGGACTCAAAAGAGGGGTCAGTGACGACAGTAGCAAGCAGACGCGTGACAGTAGGACTCGCAGCGCGAAGAGAGTCCGACTCAGGGTCGGCAAGCGCAGGAAGAGAGGACTCCGGAGGAGAAGGCAAAGGGGCACGCAGAGGAGCAGTGGACGGACGCAGAGACATCCGGTGCGTGCCAGGGACAGGAGGAGGACGCTGACGCGAACTGCGACCACTAGCGCGAGCAGCACGAACAGGCGACGCGGGACGAGACGCAGGCTCACGACGCTCAGCAAGACCTCCAGTAGGACCAGTGTAAGGAGAGGGAGCAGGCAGTGGAGAGGAAGGCTCCAGTAGGGACTGCGACTGGACAGGTGGTGGACCCTCTACTGGAGGAGAAAGACCAAGAACCTGCTGCAGGAGCGGAACGAAGTACGGCCGAGGCCGCGCGGCAGCTCCAGACTCAGCAGGGACAGCACCAGCACCCTCAGCTACAGCACCAGCGCCACCCACACCTCCAGCGGCAGGACCAACAGCAGCAGGCTCAGCACGAACGCCCTCAGCAGCTCCAGCTCCAGGAGGACCCGCAGGTCCAGCAGCTCCGGGACCGGCAGCACCCACACCCTCGACGGTCGAAGAAGCTCCAGCTCCAGCTCCAGCAGCACCTCCAGACTCAGCAGCACGCCTCCAGCGGCGAGCGAACCACTCGCGCAGCTCCTGTGGAGAGAGGGGCTCCCGGCGAGACGCAGCAGCAGGAGAAACCCCAGGCTCAGCAGCTCCAGACGCAGCACCCCCAGGCTCAGCAGCTCCCAGCTCAGCACCCCCAGGCTCAGCAGCTCCCGACCCAGCACCCCCAGACCCAGCACCTCCAGGCACAGCACCCCCCGGCTCAGCACCCCCAGGCTCCGCACCCTCTGCAGTAGCACCCTCAGGCCCAGCACCCCCAGCAGTAGCACCCCCAGGCTCAGCACCCCCGCGCACAGCACCCCCAGAGTCAGCACCCCCAGGCTCAGCACCCGCAGCAGCACCAGAGTCACCAGTAACCTCGACCGGGTCAACGGCGTCTACCTGGGACACACCTGAGGGGGCAGGAACCTGAGGGGGGAGGGGGTCTACCGGGGGGGGAACCGGCACAAGGAAGTCCGGGGGAGGGGGGAGGGAAGGAGTGCGGTAGGGGAGGAGACGGTAGAAGGGGACTGACTCGTCGAACGTGACGTCCTGGGAGGACAGAACACGACGAGAGGAGGGGTGGTAAAACTGCCATCCTGGGGCGTCAGTGGGGAAGCCAAGGAAGACACAGGGAGCAGCACGAGGGGACAGCTTGTCCGCAGACAAGTCGCGGACAAACGCCCGAGATCCCCAGACACGGAACACAGACGCATCGCCAACCTTCCCCGTCCACAGCAAGACTGGGGACATCGCAGGCCGAGAGACCCGGGGGTGAAGGTTGAGCTGATGCGCCGCGTACCTCACCGCAAACGGCCACAGAAAATGGGGGGCAGCCGCATGCATCATGGACGTACGAGCGACATCCATGACCATGCCAATGCGGCGCTCAGCAATCCCATTTTGCTGTGGTGAGTCCGGAAGCGTGAAGGTCTGGCGGATCCCCCGTGCACGACAGTAGTCTCGCAGAAGGCGAGAAGAGAACTCTCCGCCTCTGTCAGAGTGCAGACGCAGAACAGGAAAGTCCGAGCCGAAGCTCTTCCTGAGCTGGAGACGAGCCTCGCGGATCCAGTCGATCAGCACCTCAGTGACCGCACCCTTGCTGCGCAAGGGGAGGACTGTGGTGTAACGCGAGTAGTCGTCAACCACCAACAGGAAGTAGCGCTCGTAACCCTGCCCACGGACGGGGGCTGGGCCCCACACATCCATGTGAAGCGTCTGCAGGGGAGCCTCTGTCGGGGGGAAGTGGGAGGAGTGAGGAGTAGCCCGGAGGCGACCCTCGACACAGGGGACGCAGGAAGGTCCTGGCCCGGAGGGGAGAGGAGGGAGAGACTGGGGAAGACCAGAGACAAGGACACGGGAAGCCATGCTCCGAAGACGGGGCAAGGAGGGGTGGCCAAGACGGTGGTGCCACAGGAGAGTCTCGTGAGACAGGAGGCGACAAGAACAGGGGGCAGACTCAGGACCTGACCGGGACGCAGCAGCAAGTACCTGACCCGACGCAGCCACCTGACCAGACGCAGGGACAGGAGGAGACTCAACGGTCAGGGTGTAGAGACTCGACCCCGGCCGACGCGAGAACGTGGCCAGGTGTCGGCCTGTGCGTGCCTCCGTGCAGTGGGTCACCCGCTGACTCGCAGGAGTGAACTGGTGAACACCCACATCCTGCAGGTCCGCTCCACTCACCAAGTTCGTAGAGAACGAGGGAAGGTACAGACCCGACAGGGTGCCCGAAGGGGCAGCCGGACACGGGAGGACAGTGGAGAAGTGAGACAGGACAGGACCCTCAGAGGGGTCAGCAAGGGAGACTGCAACCGGCCGGCCGAGCGGCGTAAGGGTAGTGCGGTCTCGAAAGAAGGAGCGAGAAGCTCCGGAGTCAAGTGTGAAAGTGAGGGAGGACGAGGACGACTCAGTACCTGAGAGCGCAGTCTCACCAGTACCTGAGAGCGCAGACGCACTGGCACCTAGAGCAGCAGCCTCACAAGCACCTAGCGCAGCAGTACCAATGCCCGGGTCGGGCTGGAAACAGCGGTAACCCTCATTCTCCTCACTATAATCCACAACATACATAGCAGTAAGGATAGCATCAAAATCAAGATCAAAGATCGCTACACCAGCCCTGAGAAGCTCATCCCAGCGAGGGATCTCACTAGCCCCAGGGAACTGCTGACGCCAGGCGTCCGTCAGGCGGCCAAAGCAGCGCTGGGTGGCGTGGGCACCCCCACACTGCTCACCCGCGCGGTCGCCGGAACGAAGAACGTAGGTGCAGGGACCAGTACCCCCACCCCTCTGACGCCCAGCGTACCACTCACGAAGCTGCTGAGGCGAAGGGATGTCCCGAGAGCGCTGCTGCTGCTGCCGCTGCGAGCGCTGGCCACCACCACCGCCGCTACGCTGCTGGGTACCACCCCGACCAGATCCACCCCCTCCACCACCACTGCCTCCTCCGCTGCCGCCTCCACCGCCTCCACCTCCGCCGCCTCCACCGCCGCCGCTGCCTCCACCACCACCGCTGGCACCACCACCACCGTCTCCGCCGCTGCTGCCACCACCACCACCACCCCCGCCACTAGTCCCGCCGCCACCCCCACTCCCTCCGCCGCCACCGCCACCGCCCCCTCCAGCTCCACCCGCGCCCTTGCCCCCCTTGCCCTTGCTGGAGCGACGTCTCCCACTAGGGGCAGACGCCGCGCCGACCGACTCAAGACCAAGCAGGTCGGCAGCAGCAGCAGAGGCAACAGAGGGCAGCAAGGGGGAAGGAGAGCACCCCTCAAAGATGGGGGTGCGAGGGTCACCACGAGAAGCACCTACAGCGACGATGCTCTTCTCCGCTGCGAGGAGGGCCTTCTCGAGGAGGTCGACGGTGAGGGTGGTGGGACAGACTGCGAGAAAGTGGTCCCTGACGACTCGAAGGGAGTCAGGGAGGCGCGCGACTACGTAGTAGAGAGCGATGTACATGGGGGGGGGGTTCTTAGCGCAGAACTCAGCAGGAAGGGCGGCGCGGTAGCGAGTGTCACTAGTGCGGAGGTGCGTAATGAGGTCAGCGACAGTGGGAAAGGCAGAGAGGTCAGGAAAGAGGTAGGGAAGCATGAGACGGCTCAGTGCAGCAGTGGCAGGGGAGGAGTAGCGCGCAACTACAGCGTCGTACAAGGTCTGAGCACTCTTGTACTGACTGAAGTGTGCACGCTCAGAGGTAGGGAGGTGGCGACGCACAGCAAGACGTGCAGCAGCATCGCGGGTGGCCCACTTAGAGCGGACAGCGGGATCAGCATCAGCAGCAGGAGCAGGAGAGGCGCCAGAGGTGAGATCAAAGAGAGAAAGGTCGTCAGCCCTGTCGCACTGTAAGAACAGCTGCAGGTCGTCTAACCAGACCTCAAAATCAATGGCGCGACCCTCAGCGTCAAAAGCTAGGACACTAGGGGTAGCCATGGCGACGACAGCGACGCAGTGCAAGCAGCAGGGAAAGAGCTCGCAGTGTCAGTGGGACTGTGCTCACCAGGCAGGGCAGGTCGTGTAGGTATGCAGAAAGGCGGCTCGGGTGCTGGGCGGCTCGGCTGCTGGGCGGCTCGGGCGCAGGGCGGCTCGGCTCCCGGGCTGCTCGGCGGCTGGGCGGCTCGGGTGCAGGGCGGCTCGGCTCCCGGGCGGCTCGGCGGCAGGGCGGCTCGGGTCCCGGGCGGCTCGGCGTCGGGCGGCTCGGCTCACGGGCGGTTCGGCTGCTGAGGCGGCTCGGCCAGGAGATGCAGGGGCGGGGCCGTCAGGTGCAGCGGCGGGTTGACCGGTGCAGTGGCGGGCCGGCAGGTGCAGCGGCGGGCCGGCAGGTGCAGTGGCGGGCCGGCAGGTGCAGCGGCGGGCCGGCAGGTGCAGGCGGCGGGCCGTAGGGTGCAGTGGCGGGCCGTAGGTGCAGCAGCGAGGCCGGCAGGTGCAGCGGCGAGGCCGTCAGAGGCGGCAGGCCGCTGGGTGCAGCGGCGGGCCGGCAGGTGCAGTGGCGGGCCGGCAGGTGCAGCGGCGGGCCGTAGGGTGCAGTGGCGGGCCGGCAGGTGCAGCGGCGGGCCGGCAGGTGCAGTGGCGGGCCGGCAGGAGAGGCGGCGGAGCCGCGTCAGGGGAGGCGGCAGGGCCGCGTCAGGGGAGGCGGCGGAGCCGCGTCAGGGGAGGCGGCGGTGCCGCGTCAGGGGAGGCGGGGGAGCCGCGTCAGGGGAGGCGGCAGGGCCGCGTCAGGGGAGGCGGCGGGGCCGCGTCAGACAGGCGGCGGGGCCGCGTCAGGAGAGGCGGCGGAGCCGCGTCAGGGGAGGCAGCGGGGCCGCGTCAGGGGAGGCGGCGGAGCCGCGTCAGGGTAGGCGGTGGGGCCGCGTCAAACAGGCGGCGGGGCCGCGATCAGGAGAGGTGGTGGGGCCGCGTCTGAGGGACACCGGGGCCGCGAGGGAAAAGGCGACCCGAGGGGGGTCGCTAAAAAAAAAGGGCGCGCCTCGGGGCGCGTTTCGGTGGGCCCTAAAAAAAAACGGTCCTAAGGTAGGACCCGCTCTATACCATGTGAAGTAAAGAAAACAGGAATGAAATGACTAAGGAAAGATTGGGTACAAATACAACCCTAGAAACCCTGTACCCCATATGTGCTACCCCACTATAGCCTACAGCAACTATGTCATATAAATCTGACACCATGCACCAACCAATGTCTCTGTACATTCGGAGGAGCCGATTATCATTTCATCCGGCACACCAACGCAACACAACAGCACGGGACAGCGCTCAGGCGCAGCCAGTGACGGCGCAGCCCAACCGATGCCCGGCATGGGAGGGAACAGGAGCACGCTAAGCCCACGGGAGCCCCGAGAAGCCCGTCGGCACGTGGAGTTTGCGACGACAAGTGGTGAAAACGCCATGATGGCCCCAATGCCACTCAAGCCGCAACGCCCGCCCTGCTTCGACCCAAGCCAACGCGGCGGCCCGACAGTTCAATCATGGGTCTTCACGATGAATGTGTTTTTCGACGCCAACTACGTCGAGTCGGACGCCGCCAAGATTCGGTATGCGGTTTCACTACTCAGGGGCCCCGCCATGGACTGGTGGCGAGTCATCGTGACGTCGCCACGCGCCTACGAGCCACCGTCGCACGAGGAAGGGCCCTCGGGTCCAGCTGTCACCTGGAGTTCGTTCTGCGAAACAGCCCAATACAGCACGTGGGATGCGTGGTGCGCAGGGCTTCGGGCGCGTTTTGAGCCGATCGCGGCTTCGATTTCGGCGCGTCAGAAACTGCGCACTTGGCGCCAGCTCGGGTCGGTTCAAGACTACACCAGCGGTTTTCTCGCACTTTGCGAACAGGTCGGCTACATGCACGAGGCGGAGCGGGTGGACCGTTACGTCGGAGGGCTGAAGCCGGACATATCGCACGAGATAATGCTACGCGGGCTATCGAATTTCAACGAAATCCTCGCGCTCGCCGAGAAAATCGATATCCTACGCCGACCGAGACCGGGGTCCTATTTCGGACATCGTCCTCGGGGACCGATCGAGCACGCCACTGTACATGCCGTCGCAACGAATGCAGCTGCCACGCCATTTAGAGGGCGCTGCTTTGCTTGCAACCGGCCGGGCCATCGCAAGAGCGAATGTCCAGAGGAGCTGAGGCGTCGAGGAGCAGAGCAGGGGAAGGAGTCTCGGAGGCAGGGAAACGCCAGCAGTCAGTAGAAGTTGGGCCAACTACTGACGAGACTGCCTGCTCGCCCAACCACACCGACCCTCACCGAGTCACAGTACCGATTCACGCCATCGATCGGGCTCGGACGAATAAGGAGGGTACAGCGACGGATTGCCCGGTACTGATCTACGGGAAAATACAGGGAGCAGCAGTGAAAATCTTCATTGACGGAGGGGCAAGTCACAGCTTAGTTAATACTGCAACCGCACGGAGATTACAGTTAATACTTAACCGATGTTTACCTGAGATAGATGCACGCTTAGTCGACGGCACGCCATTGGCCATACGAGAAAAAGTGGAGCGAGTAAAAGTCCGCTGCGGGGGAAACTTCGGGTTTACACAGGAAATGCTCGCAACGACGCTGGATGGGCACGACATTTTACTGGGACGTGATTGGCTGCGACGGTACAACCCACGGATCGACTGGACGACGGGGAGCTGCACAGTGCGAAGTAGCGGTAACTGGGTCGTCCTACCTCGCTGGCGGCCACCCGAATCTTCGACAGTCCAGGTCAACGCCATCACGATGAAACGGGCTGTCGCTGTTGGAGCCGACGTGTACGCAGTGGATATCGCAGTGGTAGAAAAAGACGAGCAGCAGAATGATTTAAAGAAACTGCTAGCAGCCGTACCGACCGAATTACAGACACTACTGAAACGGTTCCCGGGGATATTTCCGGATGATTTACCACAGGGACTGCCACCTCAGCGAGCGCACGACCACAGGATCGAGCTAGAACCGGGGGCACAGCCAACAGTACAGCGGCAATTTCGACTGACACAGCCCGAGCTCGACGAGTTAAGGAAGCAGTTAGATTACCTGTTAGAGAAGCAGTTTATTCGACCAAGCTCGTCACCGTTCGCCGCACCCATACTGTTCACACCGAAAAAAGACGGAGGTTTTCGCATGTGCATCGACTACCGAGCGCTTAACCGAGTAACAGTCAAATCGCGATACCCCATCCCCCGCGCCGACGAACTGATTGACCAATTGCGAACAGCACGTGTCTTTTCGAAAATAGATTTACGGGGAGGTTACCATCAGATTCGGGTCGAACCATCGGACTGCGCAAAAACAGCATTTAGGACTAGGTACGGGTCATTCGAGTATACAGTAATGCCTTTCGGGTTGACGAACGCGCCTGCGACTTTTCAGATGACCATGAACGAGGCGTTTAGACCACTTTTAGATAAATGCGTGATCGTTTACCTCGACGATATCCTCGTTTACAGTCGGGATAAGCAGCAACACTTAGCAGATCTTGAAGCAGTTTTTAAGGTTTTAGAGGAACATCGGCTGCTCACCAAGGGCTCCAAGTGCGAGTTTTTTAGGGATAGGCTAGAGTTTTTAGGTCACGTCATTTCCGAGGCTGGGGTTGAGATCGACCCAAAGAAGCTGGATACGGTAAAAGCGTGGCGCCCCCCGACAAACATCACGGAACTGCAGAGTTTTTTAGGGTTTGTTAATTACGTTCGACGGTTCGTGCCCGACATGGCACGTTTAACAGCCCCACTGACTGATTTACTGCGTAAGGGGGTCGCTTTTACGTGGGGGGAGAAAGAGCATGCTGCCTTCTCTGCCCTAAAAAACGTCCTCTGTTCACCACCCGTTCTACGTATCGCTGATCCCCACCGCCCTTTCGAAGTGGTTACCGACGCAAGTGACATCGCCATCGGAGCTGTACTGTTACAGGACTTCGGCAACGGCCTCCAACCCATCGCCTACGAATCACGCAAACTACATCCGCCTGAGCGAAATTACCCGATACACGACCGCGAAATGCTCGCGATCGTGCATGCATTCAAAGTTTGGCGCTGCTACTTGACTGGCGCAGACGTGACAGTACGGACAGACCACCGATCTCTACAGTACCTCCGCGCACAGCCCCACCTCAACCCACGACAGATTCGATGGCTCGATTTCCTCGAGTCGAATTTTCACTATACGGTCACATACAAAAAAGGAGCATCGAATATCGCCAACGCACTGACCCACCCCACTGCCCAGATCCACGCGATACTACTCGCCCAGACCAGCCCACTGCTTACCGGCCTATTTACCCACGGATATCAAACAGACTCGTTCTTTACAGGAGGCAACTCACAGCAATTCGCAGCGGCAAAAGGAGTCTATTACGTAAAAACAGGAACCGACCGCATCTGGGTACCGGGATACACACTACTGCGGGAACTACTGTTACAGGAAGCACACGACGGAGTTACCTCGGGACATTTCGGGGTAGAAAAAACACGGCAGCAGCTGCAGCGGTACTACTACTGGCCAGAAATGTTGACCGATGTGCAACGACACGTGGCATCGTGTCCCACTTGCCAGCTCATGAAGTCAAGCAGGAAGCGACCAGCGGGGCAATTACAACCCATCCCGCCTCCAGAGCGTGCTTGGCAGCAGGTAACGATGGACTTCGTCACGGGGTTACCAGCTGGGGCGAGTGGGAACGACGCGATCCTGGTCGTCGTCGATCGACTAACGAAAATGGCTCATTTCGCAGCATGCAGGAAATCCATCACAGCCGAAGAAACCGCCCGACTATTCATCTCCACCGTCGTACGACTGCACGGGATACCCGCGTCGATCATCAGCGACAGGGACACGAAATTTACCAGCAACTTCTGGCGGAACCTGTGGCAGCAGTTCGGCACGCGCTTACAGTTCAGTTCATCCTATCACCACGAAACCGACGGACAGGCGGAACGGACAAATCAGACCATGGAGCAGCTGATTCGAGCCACGTGCGACGACCCGAATACGTGGGAACAGCAGCTGCCACTTATCGAGTTCGCATACAATAACGCACCATCAGCCACGACGCAACAGTCGCCGTTTTATTTGAATTTCGGACAGGAACCAACAGTACCCATGACACCGAATCCCGACAACCCAGTCCCACGAGCACAACAGTTCGCCGAGATTCTGCAAGCAGCACGGACCAGGGCAGCAGAAGCAATCAAAAAATCAAACATCATCGCTAAACGTAACGCCGATCGACATCGCAGACCCGTTACGTATCAGCCCGACGACCTCGTATTACTCGACACTCAGAATCTTCGCCTGCCCATCACTCCAAAACTTCGCCCCCGGTATTGTGGGCCATTCCGCATCAGCCACATGATCACACCCGTCACCGCCCACCTCCTCCTCCCTGCTGACTGGTACGTCAGCCCGTCATTCCACGTCAGCCTACTTCGCCCTTACATCCCATCCACGAGCCAACTGCCACGAAATCGCCCAGCCAGCATGACACGTCCCCCAACCGAACCACTCATCACCCCTGAAAAAATCCTCAGCCACCGAGTCCGCGACCCTCGGGGAGCCCGAAGGATAGAGTTCCTAATTCGCTGGAAGGACCGAACGCCCACAGAAGACAACTGGGTCCCCCTGGATAAAATTGAGAACCACCCTGTCTTCCCCGAGTATCTGCGAAGCCGAAATTTCCGCGACGTCCATGCGCTCTCGTAAGAGGGGCCTCCTTGGGGAGGGGGGTAGTGTAAGGAAATTCCCTTTTCCTTACTTCGCGTCCCTGCTCAACGCGTACGTCACTGTAGCACCTCAGTCAGCACCGTTACCACTCACGACCATCGCATCATTCATTATCCCGCCCTCTTCGCACATCGCATCCCGACCTCACGGCTCGGCTGGTAACCCGCGCTCCGGGCCTACGCTTCGACACTTTCCCAACCTCAGCCCCAGGCTCGTCGCGCGACAACCACAGTCCATTACCGTTACCACTATTGTTTCGCTATATAATCCTTCGCTCATGCCTTCGCTCATTGTACTCTTTGCTTCGATAGTGCAATTCTCGCTCGTTCACTCAATTGCACTCGTAACATGCAGCAAAGCTTGAAATGCATCACCAATTACTAAGGCGTGCATCCAAAATCCAAATTATGCTGCTGCTGATGCAGCAAAACAAAACTGTATCATCAAATACATGTAAATGCTGGTTGTTAGGCACCTTGGATACATCGGCAACAACCTGTGTAAACAGCCCGTGTGACGTACGGTATACTGAATGAAGTGTGGAGGGAAATTTGTATTTTGTTACATTGGCATTCACACAACGGCACCAGCAGAGCGGTCTGCATGTTAGCCACTGAGACACTTTTATGACATTCTTGGTCATGGTATGTCATGCACTTAGACCAGACCGAGTGTGCTGCGTAGCCCGTCTTCTCTTGTGATAGCTTCTAATCCGCATCCTCCTCCCCCTCCTCATCGTTCTCATCCAACGGCCCCAAAACACCCTTGCCACCGTCTGTCTCCTCCCCATCCTCGATCGGAACGCCCAGAATTTCTTTAACTGCCCGGATTCCATCAACAGGGATGTGGTTACCGTTGATGGTGAGCAGCTTGAACGACTCCAAATCTTTGACTGCCCGGGCGGCAGCTTCCGCACCCTTTCGGCCGAAATCATTGGTGGAGAGGTCCAGCTCTTCCAGGGACCTGGCACCGTGGAAAAAGACAAACGATGCCGGAAAACAGAATGACCATGAGGGGCAGCTGCGAGAATGACCTTACACCAGATGAAACAGACGAAGTGGAGAACATTCAGGGAATAGAAGCAGAAACGATGACCAGAGAACACACAAGCCAACCGTAGAGAGCAACCCAGACCGCTCCTGGTATACACACACTAGCAGCACTCACCACAGGGAGTAGGGGATAAGGGCTACAGGGGTCCATATGTCCGCATCTCCCCTCTCATTGCCACACACACAACCGACCTCTTTAATGCAACCTCTGGGAGTCACTGATAAGGCCGCCCGCATCAATCCTACAGCCATTCGTGTCACACGTAAAAGCAGCAGCAGCAGCAGCAGCAGCAGCAGCAGCCCCCTCAACACAACCTCTGGGGCCGACCCTGAAGATACCTGAGTCAAATCTACTGCCACCAGCAGCATCAACACTCACCGCAGGTGGTCGGGAATGACTGCCACAGGTGTCGCTATGCCAGCATCGCCCATCTCATTACCACACAGCACCGCCCCCCTCAACACCAACCCTACAGCAGCACTCACCGCTGGTGGCCGCAGGTAATGTTGACTAGCGCCGCCACGCCATCGGTCCCCATCTCATTGCCTCACCGCACCACCTCCCTCAACGCAACCTTTGGGGTCAACACTGCCTTTGAACCACTAGCAGCACTCACCGTAGGTGGTCGGGAATAATGCTGACCAGGGTCTCAACGCCAGCATCCCCCATCTCGTTGTCGCACAGCACCAGCTTCCTCAATGCGCTGAACGGCTTCAGACTCTCCGCCACCCGCCCCGCTCCCTCCTCCGACAGCTCGTTGCCGCCCAGCTCCAACACCTGGTGGTGGGAGGGGTGGGGTGGGGTAGGGGGAGGTGGGGAGGGGAGGCGGGGAGGGGGAGGTGGGGAGGTGGGGGAAGTGAGGAAGGGGTTAAGAAAGAGGCCGACCGTTGCACCACACTCTGAACAGCCGACTGTTGCACCACACTCTGAACAGCCGACTGTTGCACCACACTCTGAACAGCCGACTGTTGCACCACACTCTGAACAGCCGACTGTTGCACCACACTCTGAACAGCCGACTGTTGCACCACACTCTGAACAGCCGACCGTTGCACCACACTCTGAACAGCTCAAACTCGCCGCCAGCCGCCCCGCTCCGTCCTCTGTCAGCTCGTTTCCCCCGGCTTCAACACATGGAGGAAGAACGAGGAGGGAGGAAACAAGGAAACACAGTTGCATCGCACTTCCAATCCAACGGCTCAGACACTCTGAAATCCGCCCTCCTCCCTCCTCCGTGCAGTCGTTTCCCCCCAGAGTTAAGCAGCTGGTGGTGAAAAGAAAGGGATGAAGGGCGGAAACAAGGGGACAGTGAAGGCACGACAAGGGGACAGTGAAGGGAGGACAGTGAAGGGAGGGCAGTGAAGGGAGGGCAGTGAAGGGAGGACAGTGAAGGGAGGACAGTGAAGGGAGGGCAGTGAAGGGAGGACAGTGAAGGGAGGGCAGTGAAGGGAGGACCACTACCTGCACACCTGGAGTTGGGAAGTTGACTGGGCGAGGCTGCTGCACTGCCCCTCGAGCTGCCCCACCTTCTCCCCTCTCCCTTCCAACTTCCGCCCTCTACCCCCGTCCCTGCACCCTCCCCCAGTACCCCCTTCCCCTACCAGCGCACCTCGAGTTAGCCAACACTCCCCTCCTCCCTCCTCTCTCATCCTCCTCTCCTCTTCCCCTCTCCAGCCCCCCACACCACCCTCTACGAGCGCACCTCAAGTTGGGGAGTGGACTGGGCGAGGCTGCTGCAGCGTACCTCCAGCTAGCCCACCCGCACCCCTCTCCCTTCAACCCTCTACCCCCCATTCAACACCCTCCCCCAGTACCCCCGTCCCTCTACCAGCGCACCTCGAGTTGGGGAGTGGACTGAGCGAGGCTGCTGCGGCACACCGCAAGCTAGCCCACCCTCTCTTGTCCCCCCTCCTCTCCACCCTTCCCCCACTACCCTCTACCAGCGCGCTGCGCACCTCGAGTTGGGGAGTGGACTGGGCGAGGCTGCTGCAGCACACCGCAAGCTAAAGAAATAACTCAACGCCCTCCCTCAGCACCCCCGTCCCTCTACCAGCGCACCTCGAGTTGGGGAGTAGACTGGGCGAGGCTGCTGCAGCACACCGCAAGCTAAAGAAATAACTCAACGCCCTCCCCCAGCACCCCCGTCCCTCTACCAGCGCACCTCGAGTTGCGGAGTGGACTGGGCGAGGCTGTCCAGGAGCTCCGCCACCCCATCATCGCCCAGCGCTGGTGGGCGGGGGGAGGAGAAAAGGGAGGGGGGGAGGAGAGAAAGGGGGGGGGGGAGGAAGGGGAAAGGATGGTGGGCGGGGAGAGGAAAACAAGAGGTTTAGGGAAGTGGGTTCAGGGAAGCGGAGAGGCTGTTCAGGAGCTCTGCCACCCCGCCATCGCCCAGGGCTGTATGGGCGGGGGAGGGGGGACGGAGGGAGGGGAGTGTGGGGGAGAAGGAAGAAGGAGAACGGGGGGCACACGTGGGAACAGGTGTACAGAGAGGCACACGTGGGAACAGGTGTACAGAGAGGCACACGTGGGAACAGGTGTACAGAGAGGCTGTCCAGGAGCTCTGCCACCTGTCATCGCCCAGCGCTGGTGCGCGGGGGAGGGGGGAGCGCGGGGGAGGGGGGAGCGCGGGGGGAGAAGGAAGAAGGGGGAACAGGGGCAGGAGTGGGAACAGGGAAGCGGATAGGCTGTTTAAGAGCTCGGCCACACGCGTCATCACCCAGCTCTGTTTAAGAGCTCGGCCACACGCGTCATCGCCCAGCTCTGATGGGCGGGGAGAAGAGAGGTGGGGTGGGGAGATATGGAGGAGAGGGATGAGGGGCAGGGATGAGCGGCAGGGATGAGGGGCAGGGATGAGGGGCAGGGATGAGGGGCAGGGATGGGAGATCCGCCACCCCGTCATTGCCCAGCGCTGGTGGGCGGGGAGAGGAGAAAAAGGGAGGGGGGGAAGGGATGGCGGGCAGGAAAAGGAGGACGGAGGGGGAGGGATGGCGGGCGGGGAGAGGGGGGCGGGGGGAAAGGGATGGGAAGGGGAAGTGGGTTCAAGAAAGCGGAGAGGCTCCAAGAGCTCTGGCATCCCGTCGTTGCCCAGCGCTGATGGTGGGGAGAGGAGGAGGGATGGGGAGGAAAGGATGGGGGGAGGTATGTGCAGGGGAAGTGGGAGCAGGGAAGCAGAGATGCTCCAAGCAGAGATGCTCCAAGCAGAGATGCTCCAAGCGCTGTGCTATCCCGTCGTTGCATGAGCTGCTTCAGGCTGGGTGGTGGTGCAGGACGGTTGTCAGCACAGAGCAGCATTGGGGTGGTGGTGCAGGACGGTTGTCAGCACAGAGCAGCATTGGGGTGGTGGTGCAGGACGGTTGTCAGAACAAAGCAGCATTGCCTCCTTACAGTCCTCCTGTTTACAGTCCCCCACATCTACCTCCAAACTGGACCCAACCACACTCGTATCCCCCACAGTGCCACTCACCAGTATCCCCAAGCATGAGCTGCTTCAGGTTGGGGTGGTGCTGCAGGGCGGACGCGAGAGCAGCATCACCTGGGTACAGTGCGAAAGCCAGAGCAATATTTCCTCCCCGCTTTGCCCCACACCTGCTTACAGTGCCGCACATCTCCCTCAACACTGGACCCGCCAACACCCACGCATTGCCACTCACCAGTATCCCCCAGCATCAGCTGCTTCAGGTTGGGGTGGTGCTGCAGGGCCGATGCCAAAGCAGCGCCCCCCTCAGGGCCGAACATGTTGTCTCTCAGGTCCAGGCGCTCCAGAGTGGAGTCTGGCACATGGGATGGGGAAGGGAAGCATAAGGGAAGAGAGAAAGTGAACACCTCAGCAAATAGCAGGGGCACAGCAGCACAGCAGAGTGACACCAAGGTGACACCAGAGTGACATCAGAGTGACACCAAGGTGAAACCAAGGTGAAACCAGAGTGACACAAATGAGAGTGATTATAAACCTGCAGGGGACCATGGGACTCACTGGCAGCGATGGCGTCAGCCAGTGCCCTGGCGCCATCTGTCCCCACACGAGTGGACGCGAATCGGAAGTCCTTGAGCCCCCTCGCTTCCCTCACCACGTCGGCCAGAATGGCGGCACCCGGATCACCTGCATGTGGAGGTGGTGCATATGGTGGGTGGTGAATGTGATGTGATGTAGCGAGAGGGGGCAAAGAGGTGAGCAATGTTGGTCCTTCAGCCGTCTCGCTTCCTCACCGCTTCGGCCAGAATGGCGACACCCGGATCACCTGCATGTGATGGTGGTTGGTGGGTATGGTGGTGGGTATGGTGGTGGGTACGGTGGAACACTGAAATAACTTGCAAGGGTGGGGAGCCAAAGAGGTGGGGCTCACCTGACATGTTGCTGAACAGGTGCAGCGACTCCAGGGACGCCACTGCCTGGGCGGGCAGCAGCTCCCTCATGGCCGCTGCTGCTGCCTCCTTGAGGGCACCCCCAACTCCCTAACTCCCAAAAGGCAGCCCATCCCAAAAACGGGCAGCTCACCCAAGATGTTGTTGAACAAGTGAAGCGTCTCAAGGGAGGCCACTGCTGGGGCGGGCAGCAGAAACTCCTTGATGGCCGCCGCTGCCTCGCTGATTGCACCCCCAAATCCCTGCCTCCCATCCCACTAGCCTAAGAGAGAGACTCACCCGACATGTTGTTGAACAAGTGGAGAGTCTCAAGAGACGCCACTGCCTGGGCCGGCAGCAGCTCCTTAATAGCCGCCGCTGCCTCCTTGGAGATCCCTCATTCATATTCCACACCACATCACCCAAGAGCCTCACCTGACATGTTGTTGAAGAAGTGCAGTGTTTCCAGAGATGCCACCGCCTGTGCGGGCAGCAGCTCCTTTATAGCCCCTGCTGCCTCCTTGCTGATGCCGTTGTTGCAGAAGTAGAGATGGCGCAGCGATGGCTGGGGGGGGGGGGGAAGGAGAGAACGGGAAGAGAGGAGGGCAGGTAGAGGGATAAGACAGAGGGAGTCAGGGGTTGGACGATTGCGAGAGAAGGGGCTTGATGGCTGCTGCTGCCTCGCTGCTGCTCCTTAAGAGGGATAAGACAGAGGGCTTGATGGCTGCTGCTGCTCCTTAGAGGGATAAGACAGAGGGCTTGATGGCTGCTGCTGCTCCTTAGAGGGATAAGACAGAGGGCTTGATGGCTGCTGCTGCTCCTTAGAGGGATAAGACAGAGGGCTTGATGGCTGCTGCTGCTCCTTAGAGGGATAAGACAGAGGGCTTGATGGCTGCTGCTGCTCCTTAGAGGGATAAGACAGAGGGCTTGATGGCTGCTGCTGCTCCTTAGAGGGATAAGCCAGAGGGCTTGATGGCTGCTGCTGCTCCTTAGAGGGATAAGACAGAGGGCTTGATGGCTGCTGCTGCTCCTTAGAGGGATAAGACAGAGGGCTTGATGGCTGCTGCTGCTCCTTAGAGGGATAAGACAGAGGGCTTGATGGCTGCTGCTGCCTCGCTGCTGCTGCCTCGCTGCTAATGCCGTTGATGCACAAGTAGAGGTGGCGCAGAAAGAAGGGGGGAAAGAACTGGGGGAGGAATATAGGGGGGAGAGAAGGAAGGGGTAGGGATGAGCAATATGACGAACACCTGTTCGGTTCGCCTCGAACACGTTCGAGGCGAACCGAACAAGATTTTTTTTTGGCCTAAATTGTTCGGGGCGAACGTGTTCGGTGTTCGCCCGAACACGTTCGCCGTTCGCCCGGCTCAGCTGGCCGAGGCGCGACGAACACGAACGTGTTCGTGATCGACACGGGCCTTCGACGAACGCCAATGTGTTCGTCGACGAATAGGCCCGCGACCAATTTTTAGGGCGCGGGCCTTGGTGTTTGGGCTCAGATCAAGGCCTTTTGCCGTTGCTTAAGTGCGGATCAAGGCATTTCGCCGTTGCTTAAGCTCAGATCTAGCATTTCGCCGTTGCTTAAGCGTAGATCTAGCATTTCGCCGTTGCTTAAGCGTAGATCTAGCATTTCGCCGTTGCTTAAGCGTAGATCTAGCATTCGCTGTTGCTTAAGTGCGGATCAAGCATTTCGCCGTTGCTTAAGCTCAGATCTAGCATTTCGCCGTTGCTTAAGCGTAGATCTAGCATTTCGCCGTTGCTTAAGCGTAGATCTAGCATGGGCGGTTCTAGCAGGGCGGGACTGGCTTGCGGGGTGGGGGGAGGGAATGTGAAACATTTGGATTTCACTCTACTTGGATCTGAGAAGGTCCTTTAAGGCGAACGCGAACATGTTCTGGGCGAACGTGTTCGTGTTCGCCAAAACGTACGAAATGTTCGCCTCTCTTGGCGAACTTCGAACACCCTTTCTGGTGTAAAGTGTTCGGCGAACGAACAGCCATGTTCGAGCCCAGGCGAACACGAACATGTTCGTGTTCGCCATTTGCTCATCCCTAGGAAGGGGAGGGGAGGCGAGGATATAGAGGGAGGGTTGAAAGAAATCGGGGGGAGGAGGGGGGAGAGAAAAGAGGGGGGCGGAGGTAGGGCGGGCAGTAGACATGAGCACAAGTCAAGTCGAGACACACTCGGATTCATGACTTTAGTTAAGCCTCAAGTCAGGGCTGACAGACTCTATTCGAATCTCGTGGCTCAGGAGTCAGCCAAAAGTCGCACTTTGAGGGTGTATTTTCAGCACTCACCTGAGAGGTGAGGGCGACGGCAGCAGCCCGCACGCCCTTCTCGCCAAACGCGTTGTCTGAGAGGTTGAGTGACTCGAGGTTGCAGCCTTCTAGCGCTGATGTCACCCTCGTGATCACCTGCAGTGCCTCCTCCTCCTGTGCCACCAGATACACGCACAGGCACACACACACAAGGAGACGGGTTAGCCATATGAGGGAACTGCCAGCTTACAGCCCTCCAGGGCTGATGTGACCCTTGTGATCACCTGCAGTGCCTCCTCCTCCTGTGCCACCAGATACACGCACAGGCACACACACACAAGGAGACGGGTAAGCCATATGAGGGAACTGCCAGCTTACAGCCCTCCAGGGCTGATGTGACCCTTGTGATCACCTGCAGTGCCTCCTCCTCCTGTTAGACAATCACACACACACACACACAGGGGTATGAGAACGGGCACAGGCACAGGCACAGACACAGGCACAGGCACAGGCACAGGCACAGCTATGGGCACAGGCACAGCTATGGGCACAGGCACAGCTATGGGCACAGGCACAGCTATGGGCACAGGCACAGCTATGGGCACAGGCACAGCTATGGGCACAGGCACAGCTATGGGCACAGGCACAGCTATGGGCACAGGCACAGCTATGGGCACAGGCACAGCTATGGGCACAGGCACAGCTATGGGCACAGGCACAGCTATGGGCACAGGCACAGCTATGGGCACAGGCACAGCTATGGGCACAGGCACAGCTATGGGCACAGGCACAGCTATGGGCACAGGCACAGCTATGGGCACAGGCACAGCTATGGGCACAGGCACAGCTATGGGCACAGGCACAGCTATGGGCACAGGCACAGCTATGGGCACAGGCACAGCTATGGGCACAGGCACAGCTATGGGCACAGGCACAGCTATGGGCACAGGCACAGCTATGGGCACAGGCACAGCTATGGGCACAGGCACAGCTATGGGCACAGGCACAGCTATGGGCACAGGCACAGCTATGGGCACAGGCACAGCTATGGGCACAGGCACAGCTATGGGCACAGGCACAGCTATGGGCACAGGCACAGCTATGGGCACAGGCACAGCTATGGGCACAGGCACAGCTATGGGCACAGGCACAGCTATGGGCACAGGCACAGCTATGGGCACAGGCACAGCTATGGGCACAGGCACAGCTATGGGCACAGGCACAGCTATGGGCACAGGCACAGCTATGGGCACAGGCACAGCTATGGGCACAGGCACAGCTATGGGCACAGGCACAGCTATGGGCACAGGCACAGCTATGGGCACAGGCACAGCTATGGGCACAGGCACAGCTATGGGCACAGGCACAGCTATGGGCACAGGCACAGCTATGGGCACAGGCACAGCTATGGGCACAGGCACAGCTATGGGCACAGGCACAGCTATGGGCACAGGCACAGCTATGGGCACAGGCACAGCTATGGGCACAGGCACAGCTATGGGCACAGGCACAGCACAGCTATGGGCACAGGCACAGCTATGGGCACAGGCACAGCTATGGGCACAGGCACAGCTATGGGCACAGGCACAGCTATGGGCACAGGCACAGCTATGGGCACAGGCACAGCTATGGGCACAGGCACAGCTATGGGCACAGGCACAGCTATGGGAACAGGCACAGCTATGGGCACAGGCACAGCTATGGGCACAGGCACAGCTATGGGCACAGGCACAGCTATGGGCACAGGCACAGCTATGGGCACAGGCACAGCTATGGGCACAGGCACAGCTATGGGCACAGGCACAAAAACAGCGTGCAGATGTTGGGTTCGCCTTGATAGGAAACACAGGTAGCCATCGGCCCTCCAGCGCTGATGCGCCCTCGATATCACCTGCTGTGGGCCTAATCCTGCTCCCCATATAAGCACACACGCCCCGGCATGCTCAGACACAGGCAAAGACAAAGGCACAAACACGGGCAGACACACTCACCGACACAAGCACAGGCACAGTCAGTCTGGGCAGGCATGGGGACAGGCACAGGTATGGCATGGGCATGGGCACAGGTATGGCATGGGCATGGGCACAGGTATGGCATGGGCATGGGCACAGGTATGGCATGGGCATGGGCACAGGTATGGCATGGGCATGGGCACAGGTATGGCATGGGCATGGGCACAGGTATGGCATGGGCATGGGCACAGGTATGGCATGGGCATGGGCACAGGTATGGCATAAGCATACTTTCCCCCTCTCCTTCTCCCTCGCCCCCCTCCACCTTCCCCTCCTCCATCCCTTCCTCCCACCCACCGGTAGGCTGGCAATGATGTCGCTGAGGTCAGCATGCGTCAGCGTGTCCTGCGCATTGGTCAGCGCCTGGTGCGCCACGTCAGCAGCCTCCAGCGTGAACGCCTTGCTGCTGAGCTTCACCTGTTACAGGATAAAAGGGTTACAGGGGTATGGTTACAGAGTCACAGGGTTACAGGGTTACCAGGTAACAGGGTTACAGGGCAGACATTTGTAACAACTGGATAACAGGGTAACGGATGAATCAGTAGCAGGGAAACAATGTAACAGGATGACACTGAACATGGGTAACAGGGTAACAGGACGACATGGGTACCATGAGTACAGGTGCATTGTCAAGCCAGGTACCATGCGGGTGGGTGAGAGTACTGGTGTAGTGACGCAGTGGGTATGGGTGTAGCGGGTATGGGTGTGGCAGGCACGGGTATAGCAAGCACGGTCGAGAGAGGTAGAGTGTGGTGAGGAGGCATTGAGAGGGTCGGAAGAGGCACCTTCTTGCAGCCATTGTTGGGCTTGAGCAAGGGCGCGAGAAGCTTCTCCGCGGCTTCCATGGTCAAGGCCTCCCTCTTGCCGCCAGAGATGTCAAACTGCCAGAAAAGAACAAAAGCAGGACAGAACTGTTGAGAGGGCTTGCACACATGCCACACGCAGCTCATTCGCAACTTCAATGCATTCTGATTCAGGCTCAACGAGATACATGGCCCACTCCCTCTCAAAGAGATGTATTTAGATCATCAACAGTGGTTAACCCCTTCCCCCGCACCCTCTCCCCCTCTCCCCATCCGTGACTGCGCCCTTCCGCACTTGCACTCCCCCTTGCGGAACGTGCCCAGCGACAGGTTGCTGGCATGCTGCGCATACCATCACCACAGCCAATTTCCGCTCTCACTTCTATTCCAAGCCCCCCGCTCACCTCCTCAACGCCCCCCTCTGCAGCTGCGCCCGCTCCCCCCTTGGTGCGCTCCTTCTTGAACGCGCCTACCATGAGCTCGCTGACGTGCCGCGCGTACATCATGACAGGGAAAGCAACCTCAACGTCAGCCTCACTGCCAAACCCACTCCCACTCCCACTCCCACTCCCACTCCTAAGCCCCCAACTCACCTCCTCAACGCCCTCATCCGCAGCTGCGCCCGCTCCCTCTTTCTTCCTTTCCTTCTTGAACGCGCCAACCATGAGCTCGCTCGCGTGCTGCGCGTACATCATCTCCAGCGCCCCCCAACCCTATTCCCCCCCACGCACCCATCCCAACCGACGCTCACCTCTTCAACGCCTCCCTCCACAGCTGCGCCCGCTCCCCCCTTCGTCCGCTCCTTCTTAAACGCGTCGACCATGAGCTCGCTCGCGTGCCGCGCGTACATCATCACCAGCGCGCTGCCCTTCACCGCCGCGCCCCCCTCCTGCGCGCGCGCCTGCGTCGCCGCGAACGCCTCCGCCTCGATGCTCTCCGCCAGGCTGCGCGCCACGCCGTCGTCCACCCGCTGCGCCTGGGATCGGGAAAAGGGAGGGGGGGGAAAGGGGGGACGGAGGGGAGAGGGAGGGGGAGGAGTGAGGGGAGAGAATGGAGGCACTGGCGTGCCGTGCTCAGGTCGTGCCGCCTCCGCCTCGATGCTCTCCGCCAGGCTGCGCGTCCACCCGCTGCGACTGAGATCGGGCGGAAAGCGGAGGGAGGGGGGAAGAGGGCGGGGGAAGGGTGACGGAGGGGGGAGGACGGAGGGCGGAAGGGGAAGCGGGAAGAGCTTCAACCTCTCCGCCAGGCTGCGCGCCACGCTGTCGTCCACCCGGTGCGTGGGATCGGCGGGAGGGAGGAGGGAGCGGAGAACGGGGAGGGGGAAGGGGGGAGGAATGAGCGGGGGGAAGGGATGCGCTGGCGTGCCGTGCGTAGATCGTGACGTCTCCGCCAGGCTGCCCGCCACACCGTGGCCCAAACGCTGTGACTGGGATCGGGGGAAGGGATGAGCGAGAAAGGAGGATAACGCAGGGATTTTTTGCGTACATGCATAACATTGAGACAAAAAAATGTTGACAGCGTTGACCCGTTGACCCGCTGACACCGTTGACCCGTTGAGAATTGCAGAAAACGAGCTGCAGCAGCACGGGCCGTCGACGTGCGTAGCCGAATTCGCTTGGGACACATTTGTATACGGCTTGTCGCCTCCTCGAGAGTCGTCTCCTCACCCACACAAGGCCCTCCTGCAAACGCTTCGACGCATGTGGGTGAGTCGATCTGTCGTCTCTCGTCGCAAACATTGTCGCACGCCTCGTCGTAAACATTGTCGCACGCCTCGTCGCACACACCTTGTCCTTGGAGAAGCATATGCTGACGAGGTTCGTGCTGATGCGATCCACGATCTTCGCTCGCGACCCCTCATTGAGCGGCCACAGCCCGCTTACCGCCTCCGCCACTGCATCCGCCGCCGCCATATCCTCGTTACAAGATCGGACGAGTAAAATTAACTGTACTTTATGAACGGAGTGATCGACACGAAAAATCTGCACGTGTTGAAAGGCAGACTAAGGGTAATCCTCGCGACGAGAGGCGAAGAAGCCAATGAACTGGAGGCAATGTGGGTCGAGAGATTCGACCCTTGTGGTGAGATGTGAACGAAGGAAGGAGAGGACAGGTCGTGGATCAAGAAAAATAGTTTTTTAGGAACTTTCAAGGTTTGGCAGGACCAGGAAATTACAGAACGTTGGATCAGAGTCACGACTAGGGCGTATCTGTAAAGTTTCGGATTGAGGCTCTCAGCCCGTAATTCCTTGTGCACTGTTACCAAAAAGTACGCGAGACCAGCCGCATACTCTTCTGATTCGCATTTCAAACTGAAATTCCAAATGATACGAGCTCAAACGAATGCGTTCTCCAGATCCCTTTTCAAGCTGACGCGACCCCCAAGGTGCTGGCGGGAAGCTGACAAGATCGGGTGATTCGTAAGAGGGTCCATGAAATATACGGTAAGAGAAAAGAACTAGAATACACGGCACTTTATTATATGTAGAGTATCAGACTATTTGCTGCAAAAAATAACGTCCACACGAAGTTTCCAAAACAGATTTTCAACACTCGCAACCACTCATGGACAAATGTGCCGCTGTTAATCGATTTGCAGCCAGTACAGACCAGTATCGTGCAGCTTATAGAGCCTGGACTACAAAGCAGTGTGATTGCAATGTTGTTAATCGAATCATATCTAATACATATATTAGAAAAGGTGAATCTAGCATAATCTGGGCAGAGCCCCAGAAAGGGCCTACATGCTCTCTATTGAATGAGCACAATCATACACTCTCCAAATGTTGGGGTAGAACCACCCAGCCTGTCAGAATCCCAACCACTAGACCATTGGGATAAAATGACTTGTTAAGTAGCAGGTCAGTGAGCCCATAAACCCCCAGGACAACGAGCCTGTAACCCTTCCCTAGGATCAATCGGGGATCACCAGTGGACATCTAACACCCCCCGCACTGGGATGCCCGAACTGCACACACTAGGATTCGAACGCGAGACCTTCGCTCTGATACCATGTCAGAATCCCAACCACTAGACCATTGGGATAAAAGAGCTTGTAAAGTAGCGGGTCAGTGCGCCCATAACCTCCCAGGACAACGAGTCTGTAACCCTTCCATAGGATCAATCGGGGATCACCAGTAGATTTCTAACACAGCCTTGTTAAAATAGTAGACAGAAGTAGGAGCCATAGCTAGGAGAGTCCTAGCTAGGCAAGAGACAGTTTAGGCAAAAGAGAGGATTGCACTAGCAAGAATGAGGATACAAATAGCATACCCTAGAAGGGTTGTACTCGCTATAGAGCACCCCACTACAGGCTAGAGCATAACATTCTGACAAGCCTAACATTACCGTACCAATGTTTGTTACAAATGCTGCGATCAAAGGTTGATCGTCCGTAGGATCACCTCAGGAAGGTTGGCACACAGTTGATTGGTAGTGGTGGGCCCTTGAGCTCAATTCAGAGTTAATGAAAAATGATTGAGATGATTAGTACATGCAAATATAAGCATATAAATAAAAGTATAGGGTGGGATACAGAACGACCTTGCTAGCCATGTACTCGAGTACATTCCCTTATTGCATCGAAATCCAACCGTGCGACTCCAGACAGTTGTGAATTGCTCGGGCAGAATCCTCGCCACTGCTGCTGCCTGATGCTGCCTATCATGACGGCCCAAATGTTTCGTGTCAAACATTATATATGTTCTGCTTGTTTATGCTACAGTGGGTTAGCCTATAGGGGGTACACAATTCTAGGGCTAGGTACTTGTACTGTTTTCGCTGTTAGTTCATCCATTCCTGTTCATTCATTTCAACAAGGTATAGAGCAGGTCCTTCCTAGGACCGATTTTTTAGGGCCCACCACTACCTACCTACCTGCACCCTAGGGCGCCTCGGTTTTCACGGCCCTCTAAGGCCCCGTGACCCGCGACCTGCCCCTTAGCGACCCGCGACCCGCCCCTTAAGGCCCCTTCGGCCCACGCGCTTGCCCCTTACGGCCCCGCACTCGCCCCTTTACGGCCCCGCGCTCGCCCCTAGAGGCCTCGAACGGCCCACGCGCTCGCCCCTAGCGGCCCCTGTCGGCCCCGCGATCGCCCCTAACGGCCCTGTCGGCCCCGCGCTCACCTCCCTAGAGGCCCCGAAAGGCCCCGTCGGCCCCGCGCTCACCTCCCTAGAGGCCCCTTACGGCCCCGTCGGTCCCGCGCTCACCTCCCTAGAGGCCCCGAACGGCCCCGTCGGCCCCTAAAGGTCCCTTTACGGCCCCGCGCTCACCTCCCTAGAGGCCCCGAACGGCCGCGTCGGTCCCGCGCTCACCGCCCCTAGAGGCCCCGAACGGCCCGTGACCGCCACAGCCCAGGATCGAACCGAGCCGCCCAGGACCAAACCGAGCCGCGCGACCCGAGCCGAGCCACGCGATCCGAACCGAACCGCGCCGCCCCACCCGAGCCACGCCGCCCTACCTAAACCGAGCCGCCCTACCTGCTTCATCCTCCTACTCCTACTGCTACTCCTACTGCTCCTATGGCTAGCCCATAGGTGCTAGTTTTCGATGCTGAGGGCCGCCCAGTGAAGTTTGACACCTGGCTAGACGACCTGCACCTCTATCTACAACTCACAGCCAAGGACGACATCTCACTGTATGACCACGCCCTAGGCTATGTCACTGCCCCTGCTGCTACTGCTGACAGCACTGCCCGCTCACAGTGGCAGACTCGTGATGCCCACGCTCGCTTCGCTATTCGCAACTCCCTGCCGATAAACGAGCGCGAGCACTTTGGCCAGCACAAGACTGCACAGGCACTGTACACAGCTCTCGTTGCTCGCTACTCCTCACCTGCCTCTGCCACGCTAGGCCGTCTCTCCCTCCCCTACCTGTTTCCCGACCTGGCCTCATTCCACACAGTCGCTGACCTCATCACGCACCTCCGTACTAGTGAGGCCCGCTTCCGTGCCGCCATGCCTGATGAGTTCCTTGCCACGCACCCCCCCCCACTCTGGCTCACTCTCTACCACCTAGTCACCCGCCTCCCTGACACTCTGCGTGCTGTCAGGGATCACTTCCTAATTCGCTGCCCCACTGAGCTCACCATTGCCCTCCTCGAGAAGGAACTGCTTGCAGCTGAGGCTAGCATCGTAGCTGTAGGTGCCTCTCATGGCGAACCCCGTACCCCGTTCTTTGAGGGGTGTTCTCCTTCCCCCCTTCTTCCCTCTGTCGCCTCTGGTGCTGCTGTCGACCTCCTTGGTGGGGAGAAGGTCGGTCTGCGTCTGCTTCGAGCGAGTGCCGCAGCGGCAAGGGGAAAGGGGGCAAGGGAGGAGGTGGTGACGGCGGGGGAGGCGGTGGTGGGGGTGGTGGCGGCGGTTGGGGTGGTGGTGGGACTGGTGGGGCTAGTGGTAGCGGTGGGGGTGGTGGTGGCAGCGGTGGGGGAGGTGGCAGGGGCGGAGGCGGTGGTGGGGGTGGCGGTGGACGCGGCGGCGGCAGGGGTTGGGGTGGTCGAGGAGGTGGCGGCGGCGGTGGTGGTCGTGGAGGCGCTGGCGGTGGCTAGGGCCAGCAGCACACTCCGTCGCCCCAGGAGGTCCGTGAGTGGTACTCACATTATGGGGGGGGGGGGGGGGGGGGGGGTGGCTTTAGCTGCACGTACGTCATTCGCACGGGTGACCGCACTGGTCAGCCGTGTGGGGGACCGCACGCCACACAGCGCTGCTTCGCTCGTCTCAACGATGCTTGGCGTGTTCAGTTCCCTCAGGCCACTGAGCTGCCCCGCTGGGTTGATCTCCTGAGGAAGGGGATTGATATCTATGCTCTAGACTTTGATGCTATTCTATCTGCTATGTATGTGATGTCTACTAGTGGAGAGGGTGCTGAGTACCTGTGTGTGCCGCCCGACCCGGGCATTAGGTCTAGAGCGTCTGCCGCTCCAGGTACTCGCGTGTCTGCTACCCTAGGTACTGGTGAGGCAACTGCTCTAGATGCTTTTGCGTCTGCCCCCCCTGGTAATGAGTCGACTGCAGCACTACACACCTTCACACTGGACTCAGGTGCTTCTCGCTGCTTCTTTCGTGACCGCACTGCCCTTGAGCCGCTTGCTCGGCCAGTTGCTGTCTCCCTCGCTGACCCCTCTGGGGTTCCGGTCATTGCGACCTCCTCCACTTTCCTTCCCTGTCCTACGGTCCTGTCGGGCACACTATCAGGTCTCCACCTCCCCTCGTTCTCTACGAACCAGGTGGCAGGATGTGCGCTCCAGGACGGGGGTGTTCACCAGTTCACCCCTGCCTACGAGCGCGTGACACACTGCACGTGTGCTCGTACGGGCCGTCACTTGGCTACCTTCACTCGGCAGCCGGGGTCCGACCTGTACACACTGACCACTGAGTCCCCTCAGGTCGCAGCGTCTGCGTCTGCGTCTGCGTCCGCGTCAGGTCAGCTGTCGGCCCCCTGCTCGTTTCGCTCTTTGGCACACGAGACTGTCCTCTGGCACCACCGCCTTGGTCACCCGTTTGTGCAGCGGCTTCGTGCCATGCACTCCCGGTACCTTGTCTCTGGCCTTCCCAAGGTCCTTCCTCCCCTCCCTCCCTCACCTGCTCCTCCCTGTCTTCCCTGTGTCGAGGGGCGGCAGTGCGCCGCTCCTCACTCCTCCTTGTTTCCCCCGACAACTGCTCCCTTGCAGACGCTCCACATGGAAGTGTGGGGCCCAGCCCGCGTCCGTGGTCAGGGTCAGGAGAGGTACTTCCTGATAGTTGTTGACGACTACTCGCGCTACACCATGGTCTTCCCCTTGCGCACCAAGGGTGAGGTCCCTGATGTCTTG